GAGTTGCTGAGTAAAGCTGGATGTGGAGTTGGGGAGGTAAGTGCAGCCTGCAACCTGCTGACACCCTAACCATGACAACTTTCAGAAGGTAACTGCTGCTGCTGCTGCTGCTGCTGTACTTCTCTGCCTTTCGAATCATTCACAAATTAATCTTTTGGCCGACTCTAAACCAAAACCATGCAGGAAAGAGGATTCTGGGAAATGCAGTTCCGGGTTACCCAAATCGACACAGTACAAAACCACTACTTGCCATTTATTAGCTACTTGATATAGAATGAACTTATTAAATGTCTGCGAGTCTAAGTCTCCTTCCATTGCAGCCTTTAGGCACTGTTTTGTGGGAGGACATTTCCTGGATTTCTGGAAGATGTCCTGTTGCCTCGGATCGCCCACTTACAGGTCCCTCGGCGTGAATGATGCTTCCTTCACTGGCCTCTTATGACCCCCTCTCAGACTCATGGCTTCTGGTAGTCTTTCGCTAGCTTGGATTGCCTCTCTCTTGCAGACAGCCCTCTTGGGCAGTCTACAGCTGGCTCATGGAAAACATGCAAACATCCGTGTTCTGCTAAGCTCTGAGGGGCAGCTCACTCTCAAGGCAGTCCGCTGGACTCACCGTCCAGGGCAAGCCAGCCACAGACACTCGACTTCGGATTATTTTTAGGCCTGAGTCGCTCAGTCCCTCACCGTCCACTCAATTCAAGTCAAACTCTTGGAGTTATTCTCTGAAATCCTCCTCTAAGTGAGTTACAGTAAGAAAGAATCACACCTTTGACTGTCGGGGGAAGAAATTGACCATTCTTTCCAGACAGATCTTCATTACCGCCGCCCTTTAACCTTAACTCTTAGCTCCTTCTGCCACAGTCTGGAGGTGGGTAATGAGCTACTGACCATCCCTTTTGCAAGTCTGTAGAAATAGTGTAGCGTCTTGATTTAGAACATGCGGGTAGTTTAGAATAGTTGATACCTATATTTCTTTTCCTGACCTTTAGGGCCTCTGTCCAAATTTTGAGATGGGAAGAGCCCTATCTAACATTCTGTTGCCTATATGAAGAGCCTGGCATGGTGCTTGCCAAGTGGTAGGCATTCACTAATGGAAGCAATGGCGTGTTGCCAATCATCCAACCTATAGGTCAATCCAGCCTTCGAAAACGGTTGGGATCCTCTTCCTGTAATCAGACTAAAGGAGAGTTTGTACCCTCATGCATGGTTTGAAAGGCAGTTGCCTGGTGCTCCTTATGCCCAGTCCACATATCTTTTCCAAATACAACATTTACAGCCATCGAGGCCAGTAGCTGCTGTGCCCATGCCCATCCAGACTCACACTCAGTGACAAATCACAAGCCCAAGGTAATCAGGAACCAGCTTAGCAGTTCACACTGGGAGAAGAGGGAAATGAACCCTCCCTTGATCTGGAGACCCCTCTCAGCCACAGCAGGCAGAGTGGGAATGTATAGTCGTGGGCTGAGCTGTGTGCAGCCAGCGTGCCCTGACCTGGCACCTGTCTCCACCAGTCAGTCTCTGTGCTGAAGTGGTTTTTATGTATTTTGAATATCGTCCTTGCCTGTGGGCATGGAGATACTCAAATCCTCAGACACACAGAAACACCAGCGGCATACATGTATGCACAATTGCATCTTTACATATGAGCACACATGCAGTTACTTTCCTGAAGTTTACAAGTAGAAGTTACATAAATTTGGAAAATATGAACTGATCTGAGGTGTGCCAACATATTAGGGAAGTAGCTGTCTGCTCCAAGTCTTTCTCTTGGCCTCTGTTTTAGTCATTATGTCTTCATTTCTTCGGTTGTTAGATATCACAAGTGGCATTAGAAGGGATTAAAGGGAATAGGGGCACAGCCTCAAAAATATATATATCCCCAAATGCAAGAATATAATGCAGAGTCATTATTTTCCAGATTGCAAGAGTGTATTGAGAAAGGTTCAATTAAAATACTATGGCAGCAGTTGGCAAAAGTTTTCGATTAGTATAAAGGGTCAGATAAATATTTTAGGCTTTGTGGGCCATATTGTCTCTTCACAATGACTCAACTCTGCTGTTGTAGAACAAAAGTAGCCATAGACAATAATAAACAAATAAACACAGTCATATTCCAATAAAATTTTATTTACAAAAAAAAGCAGCAGGCCAGATTTGGCCCATGGGTTTTAGTTTAAAGAACCCAGAAGCCATCAAAGCTAGCTTCACAGATTTTTCAAAGGTTGATATGGACTCCATTATAACTCCTCCAGAAAGGATAAGAATAGATTATTTGGATGTGGCATCAGTTTTGTTCTAATTATTTTGTGCTATGCTTTGGTATTTTGATGTTCTCTTTCCATGCATTTATCTCTAAATGCTTCCCATTCTTCATTCTGTTTCCTTGTACTCACGGGGTTGGGTGATTTTAGAATAAGCCTCTTTCAGATTCATCCTTTCTAAAATCCCACTTATTTTCAGATCCCTCATCTGTACTGGGGTAAGATGTGATGTACAATAGCAAAAAGAACACTTCTCTGGATCACTGGACAGGACATGACACCAACTTGCTGTGTATCTTTGGGAAAATCACCTAACATCTCTGAGCCTCCCTTTCCTCATCTGTCAAATGAGGGAGTTGCCTAACTGGTCTCTAAAATCTCTTCTAGCTATAAGCTTGTGATTTTAGGAAGTTGTAACCTCAAGCCAGGCAACTGTCTGGGCCATTAATTAGGATGTCACTCACAGACCATGAAATTACTAGGAGGCCAACAGAAATTAGCCACATGATCTCCTATAGTTGGCAACCTTCCTGAGGCCTTCACAGCTGAGGGCAGTGGGGGTACCAGCTAACTTCAGAGAATCTGAGATCCTATCCCACTAAGGGGAAAAAAGAAGACAAATGACTTCAGAAACCCTATGCTCCAGGAAAATTAGTTTACATTTCTAAATTGTCATTGTAATAGCTACAAAATGCACACAACTGTTGTTTGGAATATCAGTGGGAAACAGGATGCTAGGATGCTACGGTGGGAAGATGGTACTCTTTCCCTTCCCCATCAGACCCTCCTATATAGGCTCTTCTGGCCATGTAAAATGTACTCTTCAAAGCCCGCCCAATAAATATATGAATAGGGAATGAGGAAATGGAGGCTTTGAGGAGCTGAAAAAAGAAGTCTTCTCTGTAAGCAAGGATGAGGGAGGTCAGGGAAGGTCCAGGAACCCAGACTTTGGCTGCATCAGGGGCTGGCCACCGCCCCTTTGGTGGCTCAGAGGAGAGTTCATATAGTATCATTCCCACTCTTGGGCTCATTCCCCAGCTCATAGCCCAGTGGCTTGTGGACACAGCAGATGAGCAGGGGCTGGAGCCCTCTCCCTCCATCCTGGACACAGGCTCCAGGGCAGGGAGGGAGTGGAGAAGCCCACATTCTGGCCTCCAGGAGAACAGGCACTTATTGCCTGACTCTGCTAAAGCGGTCTCATTTGTAGCCTAAATAATTCACTCACCATTCTCTCAAGGAGCATTAATAGAAAAACAAAACCCAACCCAGCCCTCATGCTCAGGTTCCCACTGCACGGAAGGCAGGCAGGAGGCTGGAAGGCAGTCCCGAGCCGCACAGCTGGCCTGCCTTCAAAGGTTCGCTGGGCTTGGCAACTTGCCGAAAAAGACCCAGAGTTGGATTTTTCCCAGCCCTCTAGCTAAGGATGGTTTTTACATTCTTAAAAGGTTTTTTCAAAACAAAATGAAACAAAACAAATAAACATCAACAACAAAAACAAATAATATGTAACAGAGACTATACATGGTATGCAAAGCCTAAAATGTTTCCTACCAGCCCTTTCAGAAAAAGTTTGCCAACCCTTTCATCCATTCCCCAGCCTTGAAGGAGGCAATGACATCCTTTGACCACCTCCATGGCTACTCACCCCCTGATTCCACCATCAGCAGAGATTCAAAGTTGTCAGAATTCTGATATTTACAGTCTAGTGAGAATCTGGCATCACTGTTCACTCAATTACCAAAAACAAAACAAAGCAAAAACAAGAAGACAAACTGGACTGGACTGAGGAAGGGGGAATTTCAAAGTCTTGGTTCTACTACATGATGAGAGAGGGAGGAACTGAGACTTGGCCCCAAGCCATCATCTGATTCAGCTTCTCTGAGGGTCCGAATTCAGCATCATCCAGCTTGGTCTCTACTGATACTCCTCTCCCTAAGGCCCTGGGCTATCCCAATCACAGCTGTCATGGAGGCTGCAATTGTCTTACTGATAAGATATCTAAGTAGCCAATGGCTCTGAGTCTCTGAAGCCTGTGTGTCATCCCCAAGCCATCTTGGGTGTCAGCCTAACTGTGCTGACCCTCAATCCTAAACAGAGGCTCCAACCTGCCACCTGTCCTGCCTTGCAGGAGCCTTTGAAGAGAGAGGACCCTGATCAGCTCTACAGCCTACCCAGACTCTCTCCTGGAGCCAGAGCTTCTGAGAGTTATAGCTTAAAGACCTCAAAAGAGAGGGGTGCGAGTGGCCAATGGAGATGCCAGCTCAGAGTGCCCCAGATGTACCTGGGCTGAATGACCCCCAGGCTGTCATGGGACCTATTTGGGATTTTGGGGGTTGAGGGCAGAGTGGAGACCAAAATGGCCCCACATCCTAGTGTGTGGATATTCTGGATGATTTCAGACCAGAACAGTGACCTTAGCATCTCCCAAGAAAAATGTTGCTGCTGTCCAGCCAGTACTTTGCAGGTTTCAGTAACTTGAGACAAGATTAACATGGAAGGCCCAGGTTGGAATCCCAACATTCAGGCTGGCAGGTCAGCAGTCTTAAAGGTTTGGGAGCCCAGGCTGTGAGATCTTGGGCAAGTCACACCTCACCTCTCTGGGACTCAGTTTCCTCATCTGTTATTATAAAACAAGCAAACAAAAACCCAAGGTGCTTGGATGGGGGTGATTTTAAGGTCATGTTCAACCCATACCCAATGAATAGCCTAAACCAAGCCAGGCCTCTGCAGACGCTCAGCTGGGAAGTTGTTCGGGTTCATTTTTGCTTTCTTTCCCCAGATCAATCCAATCCCATCCAAATGAGATACCATGGTTCCGGCATACGAAGAGAGTGTTTTCCTTCAACATGTGAGCAGCTTGCTGGGGATTCAGGACTGATGTGAAAGAGGGAGGTCGTGGGTGGTGAAAGTGACCTCTTGTCTTTGTGCCCTGCGGCCCAAAGCCAGAGTCTCCTCCTGTACACTTTAAATTATCTAAATTGTCTGTCATCAACTCCCCAACTCGATTGGACATTCCTTAAGGGCAGGAATGTGTCTTGACCTTCTTCTGTGTCCCTGGAAGAGCCAAGCTCAGCACTAGGTATGTGTTTGGAGATCCATCCATATCTGCTGAGCTGCTTAATGGAAAGGCTCCTGGAAAGACTGATGGTGCATTTGTCATGGGACATGTGTCCAGGTAAGTGAATCCCCAAATTTGCTGGCTAATGACAGGATACCATTCTTCAGTCCATGACTCAATCAAGCCTGTTCTGTCCAGGCCATGACCCCCAAGAGCTATCGTGTGACCTGGAGAGCAAAGCAATGGGCGTAAGGTTAGAGAAGGGAATGCTTATTCCCATCCCAGCATGCCAGAGATGTCCAGGATATGCAGTCACTTAGAGGTCACTGGTCATTGCTGCTGATCCCCTCCCCCAAAGCAGTCCAGACTGGGAAAGCATGGCCTCGTGGTCCATGCAAACATAAATCAGGCAACCCTCACAAGTTGCTTCAGAGTAGCTACCCAAATTGCAAGCACAGTGATCAGCCTTATGGGCCACAAACCCAAACCTATAACATGATGACAAATATCACAGGCTTTGTGGGGGATCTCATTCTCTTCTACTCTTAAATATACTCAGAATGACTGTCTCCCTTTCCTGCCTACAGACAGGAAGTTCTATTTTATATCTAGCCCAACTTTTTCCTGCTGTAATTCCTTTTATTCTGTGCTCTATGACAATGGCTGCTGTCTTTAGAACCCTGAAGGCTGCCTTTCCTTCTCTATTTTTTAGTTTGTTTGCTGTGTGTGGTGGCAGGACAGAAAAGCAGAAGGCAGAGCTCTGGTCTGCCCCACAGTGTCATTCTTCTGTACAAACAGTGATGACAGAGTGATGCAACTGATTAACCATGACACACATGGAATTGCTAATGAGTTTGATAAAATTGTAATTAACCCTTGTTCTGTGGGGCAGGCAGCAAACCATGAAAATAATAATCCTCTTGGGTGCTGTCACAGCAGACAGAGAAACTGGACTACAAGAAGGTGGGATGAACTGTAGGGAGTTAATAGTAGTAGGAGTTGGGTGGGGGTGGAGGGACGGTCTGTGGTACAGGTGGGTGGGCAGAGTGGTTTCTGTACCTGGAATTCAGGTGGAAGCAGAGACTCCTGCCTGAATTATCTGGATAATTTTGTCAGTTCTCTACTTTGTTTTTTATAGACCTGATATATTCTGGAGGCAAACTCACTCCAGGCAAAGAAGAGGAAACTAAGGCATATGGAACATCAAGAATTTGCCCAGAAGGACACAGTGGCTTTCAAATGCAGAGCCCCTAACTCCTGTCTGCAATCAGGACAGACCCGGGAGAACCGCCTGGGGCATATTCTCATGGTTCACACTCTCACCTTGGGGCACTGACGTCCTAGACTCCCAGGGCTCCGGTGCCCCTTTTCTAGCCCAGGTGAAGGGGGAAGTGAGGGGTGGGATGAGGTGTCCACCCAGATACCTTGGTGGTTTTGACTTTCTGTCCACTGCTGCAGCTCCATCCCGAGAGGTCTGGAAGCACCTTACACTCCTCCCCCGGCAGGCAGGGCTCCATCTGACACCACCACCTCTGCAGGACGATGGAGGCTGTGGGAGCAGGAGGCGGGAGCGCAGCTCTAAACTCTCTGCGAGCACAGCAGGCAGGCAAAGGGGGTCTGTGAATGGAGTGGACGCTTCCACACACCCTCGGGTTGGAGCCCCATGTTTCCTTCATCTTTCCCCTACTCCAGGCTGCTCAGAGACGCAGCACTCAGGCTGAGGCTTGGGGACTTAATTCTATCAACTTTAGGCCCACCGATCCCTGCATCTCCCCAAAGACAGCAAGAAGTGAAGGCAGGCGACGTTGTCTCTAAGGAAACCATGTCACTAGCATAGAGGCACCGTCGTCAACATACCCCCTTGGTGTGTATGAGCAAGTGCGTGAGCTGTTCCGAGGGGTCCACAGCCCGGCAGGGCACAGCTGGCCTGTGCGTGGGCACAGTGGGCAGGTCTGCGGGTGCCAGTGGGTGTGAGAACACCAGCGTGGGTGGGGCATGGGAAAGCAGGCGGGTGTGGAGGAGCACACGTGCGCATGCGAGGGGAGAGTAAGGGTGTGGCTGAGAATGAGAGGAGGGCGTGTGGAAGAGGCCAGGGAAGGGGCAATGAGCGACGAAGCCCGCGTCCGCCGAGTGTAAGGCGAGAGGAGTCTGAAGGCGCGGAGGAAGGCGTCTTCGTATGCACCCGGCAGTGTGTGTAGGTGGTGGGGTGCACGCTTAACAGCTTTCCTTATCTATGACATGGAGACGGACACATCTGCCCTCCTGCCCCCAGAGGGTGCCCTATCATTGGAGACTCTGATCATGACAGCCCTGGGATGGGTCTGAAATGTATCCCCAACAGATGGCGAGGCCTGAACAGAGCTCCCTATTGCTCTGCGCAGGGCCTCCCTGCCCAGGGCCTGGCCTCTCACTCACCGTCCACACAGGAGGGCTTTGCCCGTGTGGTGCCGGCCACCTGGCCGGAAAAGCAGGAGCATTTGACAGTCTGAGAGCGTTCCTCGATGCGGTTCCGGTTGCAGCAGCGGTGAGCAGCGATCACCTCGCAGGTGCCCTGCTGCACGAACACTGAGGGGCCAGCAGCACGGGATCAGGCCCCCAGCCCAGGCCTCCAACCCTGCTCCCCCCACCCACCCTGCTTGTCCTCCAGCCCAACCTCCTTGCTTGGGGCAGGGCTACGGAAGAGATTTCCAATGGCGGGGAGGAGCAAGCCGGTGACATCTCCCTGCAGCTTCCCAGAGCTCCTGTTCTTCCTTCCTCCCCTGTGAGGCCACGCTCATCCCCCTTCGGCAGAGCCTGGCCCTTGTGCGGGAGAAAGATGGGGTCCCACACTGGCCCCCACCTCTCTAGCTTCCTCAGGGTGAGGGCAAGGGCCCCGGAGCTTATAGTGCGTGGGGAGGATCATCCGCTTACACAGGCTTTAGTCATCCCAGAAGGAAAACCACAGAATTAGGCCAGGAGGCTAGACTCAAGCCCCCACTGAGGGCCTCTCCCTCTGCAGAATACCTTCCGGCCTGGAAGCGAAGGTGAGCAATGGGTCTGCCCAGGCCTCCTCTGGGCTGGGACAGAATGGGGGGTGGGAGGATACACAGAGTTCCCTGGGTGAAGAACCAAGGAGGAGGAAGCTGGAACCCCTGCCTGGGAGATCTACCTGCTGTGGCACAGGGTGGAGTGGTGCCCAGCTCCCCAGGTGTCCTGGGAAACCCCCTCCCCAGGCCCCGGCACCTCCCCCAAACCTGTGGCAGTTGGAGGCTGTGAGGCAGCCGTGGCCAGGCGGGTCCACAGCCAGGCCAGGCACAGTGCCAGCAGCCAGCCGCCTGTGCTCCAGTTCCGCGAGGCCCTCTCACTCATCCTGTGGAGAGAAACGCACACCCTGCTCAGCTGCAGACAGGAGCTCCTCCGTGCCCAGCTCGAGCACCTTCTCTGGGCCATGAGCTCTAGGAAGCACAAGGGTGGGTGGGATTGACACACACACACGCATGCACATGTTGTTCACGGGCAGCTTTCAGTCTGTCACAGAGTCACTGTAGGCGTGATGAGTGCAACAGGAGGAACGGGGAGCACGAAGGGAGAGCCTGGGAGGAAGTGGCACTTAAGAGGGGTCTTGGGGGACAAATTAGATATGGCCCCATGGAGGGCTATGACATGAGAGATACAATAATGTTGACTCCCAATTTTTGAGCACTTTTTGACCCAGGCACTTGGCATGCATGCTCTTGAATCCTTCATGACTGTCCTACAAGGTAGGATTATTATTACCTACTTCACAGATGAGCAAACCAAAGCTCAAAAAGCTTGGACACAGCCTAAACAACCATCAGTAAAATACTGGCTAACTACATTGTAGAGGAACTACACAAATACAGTCCCATCCAGACAGCTATAAAAACAAACAAACAAACAAACAAACAAAAACAATGGGAAAATGCTTTATGTACTGATGCATGCATTGATATTCAATGATAATCCACTGTTAAGGAAAAAAGCAAAGTATAGAAAGGTCTGTCTAAAATGTATGAAAGGGAAGGATTATCTATGTTGCCCGAATATATATAAACTAGCTCTGGAGAATGTATAGAAAAACTATTAATATTGTTTGCCACCAAGAAGAGGAACTGGTTGGCTGGGAGATGGAGGTGGAAGGGAGACTTATTTTTCTCCTGATTTCTTTACTACTTTTTGAGTTTCCAACCATGGGAATGTAATAGCAATTCAATTTAAACAAAATTTAAATTTAAAAAGGAAAAAATAAGCCCAAGGCTAACAGAAGCCAAGTGATTTGGCCAAGGCCAGGCAGCATGTAGCTGGAAGAGTCCAGAGCCCAGCAGCCTGCCCTACACCCACTGCACTGCTCATGCCTTCTCATCCTTTCCTTTTCCTCCTCCATCCTTGATAGTTCAGGCCTCCCAAATCTATCCCAGAGGGTAGGCTAGAAATAGAAGGAATCCCAGGGAAGAAGCACAGAGTGGCTGGGAGTTGCCCAGCCACGGAAGGGCAGGAGCAGCCCAGGAGGCATCAGGGCTGCAGGCTCAGGGGTAGGCCTGGGCCACTGCCTCTGTGCTCAGCTAGCCCCTGGGGGCACTCCTGGTCTCCCACAAGTACCAGCACAGTTCTGAAAATACCAGAGGCCAAACCAATGCCAGGACTCAGCTGCTCCCTCAAATGGGGTGCATGATCTCCATCTACCCCTCTATCCCATCTTCAACTGTCTCCTCACTCACCTTTTCGGGGACCTTTCAGTTCTGTCTGCTCATCTACTGGCCTCAGACTCACGCCACCTGTACAAGTAGGAAAGAGTCTTGAGGAGTTGCAAAGGACAGATGGAGTCCATGGCCCTGCAGGGGGTGAAGGGGGACCTGGGAGAGGGCAAGGGGCTGGGCTGGGCACTGAAGCCTGCCCCAGGTGCCTGGGCAGGGGACAGTCTCTCTCTCTGCCCTGGGAATTTAGAGGGGCCCTCACAGACTCTAGGAGCATGTAGGGTAGTGAGCCTGAGGACAGTGGCCTGAGTGGGTGATGGTCCGGAGGTGCCTAAGAATCAGTGCTGTCCCATCTCTGCTCTTGGGAGGGAGCTGAGGATCAGGGAAGGAGCAGAACCTGACAGATTCCTGTGGAAAGAGGCCCCTGGGAAAGATTCTGAGGCCCTGAATCCTCTTCACTTCCTCCTCCTGCCCCCATGGCACTTGCTTCCTGGACTTGTGTGGAGCTGGCCCAGCTCTGCCCCCCTCACTCCCATTCCTGCGGCAGAGGGCTAGCAGGAGGGCAGAGGGCTAGCAGGAGGGCAGAGGGCTAGCAGGAGGCCATTCCAGGTCTCCGTGCCTCAGAGGCCACACCCCCAAACAGCTTTCCATTTCTCCCCAGGACCTCTCCTTCCTCACCCTCCAAAGAGGGGCAGAACTGAAACACAGGATGCTGGGGCCCAGGAAGGACAGAGAAGCCTGAATCCTAGCTCCCAGAGTGGGAGAGACAAGAGGACACTGTGGGGGAAGATGGAGGAAGAAGTGCCATTACCCCCAGGTGGGTGTGCTCCGTTGGAGGAGAGATCCCCACTCTGCCGGATGTATTTCTTTTCTGAGTAGGTCCTCTCCTGGCTCCCATCAGGAACCCTCATTTTGACCATTATAAACACAGCTTTGTCTTCTCTCAGGTGATCCTATTTCTCTCCGAGCTACCACATCCTCCAATCCAACTCACCCCTCTCTCCTGTGAACCCCAAGAAGTTGACAGGGAAACTCATTGAGCCTGGATCTCTGGTATTTATTGTTCCCTCCCTCAGGAAGAGCTGGAGAAAGAAGCTTCTGGGATTTGTTCTTCGGCTTCCATGCTCCTGCCTCAGTTTCCCAGCCTGTTTTCCCCAAGCTCCAATCCAGGCTATGGTGAGTCTGAGTTAGCAGCTTGCATACCAGCAAGGGTTTGAGGATGCGAACCACAAGAACCATCAGCCTTTCTCCACCTTCTCCCGCGCCCCTTCCCGGCGCCCATTCACTCCTCCAAATCCTGAGACCACACCTGGGACCTACCTGCCCCCCAGCGGCGCCCACTTCTTCGACTTGCTGGCCTGAAGTCCTCCTTGCCCCTGAGCCTGGGACCAAGACTCCGAAAGTCAGACTGCAGGAGGGAGCGGCCAGCTTGGGTGCTGTCTAGCCCGGAGCCCTGTCCCCCTCACCAAGTTGCTGCATCCCCGGGACCGCGGGGCTTTGGCCAAGCTGGCATCACCGGCAAGACGGGCCCGGCTCCGGGCACCAGGGATCTACGAGCCCGGCCCCGCCAGCTCTGCAGAGCTCAGCCGGGGTCCCTCTGAGGATCCTTCCTGCAAGCCGGGGAGCGCGCAGCCGCCGCCGCCTCCTCCTCGCCCGGGGCCTCCCCCGCTCCTCCAGCCCCGCGCGGGCGCCGCCGCCTCCTTCGGGACAGCGCTGGGCGCTCGGCCGGCCGGGTCCGCACGGCCGGGACGCAGCGGCCCCTGGCGGCCAAGGGCAGGAAGAGGGACGGAAGGACATCGGTCCCGCAGGTTCCGTTCGCCTGGGTATCTCACTGTGCCAGACCCTGGCAACTCCGAGGAAGTCCATCAAAACACTTGGCGTCTCGTGGCCCCTAGTCCTGTGGCTCAGGGCAAGGAGGAGGTGTGGGGGAAAGGGCGCTGGGAGTGAGGAGTGATTGCCCAGACCCTCAGGGTTTTTGAGCTTTGAAGATTCTGGAACTGCACTGTCCAATACAGTAGCCACACGCAGTATGTTGCTATTTAAATCTAAATTAATTAAATAAAACTTAAAATTCAGTTCCTCATTAGCACTCACCATATTTCAAGTGCTCAATAGGCACGCGAAGCTAGGCACTACCGCATTGGACAGAGCGGATGTAGAACATTCCCACTGTTGCACTAATGTCTGTTTGACAACACTCTTCTAGATATTTAGGAGGGAATAATAAATATCTCTACCCCTGGAGAGGTGCCCTCAGGGTGGAGGACTAGGGAAGTCAGGAGTGTGGGGGCCCTGGGCAGGAGGGCTGCAATAGGCTGGTGAATGGTCCCTATGGATAACATGTGTGAATCCCAACTAGGGAACAAAACTCTGAGACATAGTTTCTTCATCAGAAAATTTGTAAAGTAATAAAATACAATTGTATAATTCTTTACAGGGCTCTATTTTGCATGTGAAAATATTAGACAAATGGGAGGGAAAGGTATTCTGTGAATTTGTCTCTTAACAGAAGGGACACTCCTCCTCTTAGAGGTTGGGGTAACATGGAGGGGAGAAGCCCAGTGCTGGGCCCTGAGCCACTGGAGCTCCTCTGGCAGCACCAGCCAGTGAGCAGAGTCTCAGCTCTCAGCAGAGAAAAACACCCCACAAGTCTCTCTTCTCACCCCATCCCCCTTTCCCTCTCACTTTCTGCTGCCTCAGGGATGAGTAGAGGCCATGACCTTCTCACCAGGCTCTGGGGCAGTGTGAGGATGGAGGCGGTGTGATTTGCAAGGAACAGGAGGTGAGAGGTTCAGGGAGAGGAGAGCCTTAGGGTTCCGATATGGCTGGGGGCTGTTCTGGAGCCCAAGGAAGCCAGTGACTTCTCTCTGACCTTCTGGTGCTAGAGCTGGGGGGAGGGTCTCTGGGCCCTGGCTCTGCCTCCCACTTGCAGCCACACTTGGTGGGTGCTGTGAAGAGCAGGGCATACAGAGCTGGGTGACATGGAGAAGTGGTAAGCGAACTGTCCCAGAAACACTGAATAATAAAAATAATCAGGAGTTCTATTTTTTTCTTCAGTCTTTGGCTTCTCACTGTGATTATGCCATTTATCTGAGAGCTGGGTCCAGTTTTTCTCAAATAGGAGGGAAAACCCATAGCAGCAGCCTGTTTTTTGTTCTCATCTGCCTTTGCTGCTCTATGTATCTTTGGGTCTGATTTTTTTTTCTCTTTTGTGACTTTTTCTCTGGCTGTCTCTGCCCAAGGCTCAGACATAACATAGCAGGCATAGCAAGTTTAAAAACCTGAATGACCATTGTGGGATTTTTGTTTGGAAGCTGCCAGGAAAGCCATCCGTTTGGGGGGAACAGGTTAGCCCCAGGAGCAGAGGGAGGTATGCTCAGGAAGCACCTGGCAGACAGAGCCCAGAGGTGGAGTCCCAATCATGAACTGGGTGCCACTGGTCCCTGATGGCTACACTCAACTTGCACTGGGCCCACAAGGGCCTTGTCCCCATTTGAACTGTGGTGTGTGGTATCTCTGGAGACCTAGTGACCAACTCCCTGATAGGAGGTTTAGGGACAGAGCTCTACTGGCATCAGGTCAGTACCACCCTCCCCCAGAGGAGAGAAGACAGAAAGGCAGCCCACCAGGTGGCAGGCCCAGTTCCCATCTTCCAGCAGGTGGGCTTTTCCATCTCTTAGGCAAGCGCTTAGCCTGGCCTCTGTTTCCCCCTGGTGGCAGCCACAGAACTTGCTCGGCATTTCTGGACTGCTCTGAGCCTGGCCCTAAGAAGAGAAGTATGGGAGGGGAGGAACCCCTACCTACCCCTCAGCCATTCATCTTCTTCCTAACCCTTCCTCCCTGATCTGGAGAAATCAGCTTGGTTATTAAGACAGACCGGGTTTGGGCATCAGAGGGCTGATATGAATGTGAATCTGTCACTGGCTGTGTGACCTTTTGGGTCAAGTCACATAAAATGACAAAGAGCATCCAGTTCTGCCTCATCAGTAAAACTGACAGAATCAAACCCACCTGGGAAGGTTGGTGTGCGGTAGAAGAGACCTAATGTATGAAACGTGCTTTGTAGAGGGCCTAGTATGCAGTGAGTCCCCAGTGATAGTCACTTCCAATGTTATTTAGGTCATTAAATATAAAAAGTCCAACTTTGAATCAAAAGTATAGTTTATTATATCTCAAACACGAAGCAGTACAATTAATCAAAGTGTGTGCCTAAACTATTGACACAGTTTTGCCACCTTAATGGTAGCTTGTTTATGCCAGAAGTGAAGAAGCCTGGAGAGCAAGTGGCAATGAAATCGTGAAAGGCATTTTCCACAGCTTATTGAAAATTGAATATTTTTCCTTGTAAGAAGTGGTAGCCAGTTGGTGCAAGTTCTGGTGAATACGGTGGATGACAGAGAGTTTCTAAGTTCAGCTTCTGTAGTTTGAGCAGTGTTGTTTTTGTGACATGTGGTCGAGCTTTGTCTTGCAAAAGGATCGACCTGTCTGTCTCTGTGGACCAATCTCAGCTGCTTACTCACAAGCATCCCCATCGCTTCGTCCAACTGATTGCAGTAGACATTCGCTGTAATTGATTGACCAGGTTTCATGAAGCTGTAGTGGAGAATGCCAGCCCTGGACCAAACAGACACCATTACCTTTTTTTGATGAATATTCAGTTTGAGACTGTGTTTCGGCACTTCATCTTTATCCAACCATTGTGCCAAACGCTTGCGATTGCCAAAAAGAATTCATTTTTATCTCAGGTACCAAAACAGTATAGAAATAGTTTGCCTTTATGTCATGACATCAAGGAAAGGCAAGCTTCCAGACGATTTCTCTGCTGGTGCTCATTTAATTCATGCAGCACTCATCTATCCAGCTTCTTTACCTTGTCCATTTGTTTCGAATGGTCCAACATTATTGTTAGTAATGTTAACCCTTCCTGCTAATTTACTCACAGCGTAGATTGAGATGGACTGGCTTCCATTACAGGTTTCAGCTCATCATTATCCGCCTTGGTGTCAGGTAACCCAGGGTGGCTTATTTTCAAGATGCATTCGTTAACCACATCCTTCCCAAACACTTTGTTGATATTTCGAGCTGCCTGCACTGCATTGGTTTCACAACAACTCATATTCGCAAATAACACTTATTTTTGACTTATCCATGGTTTCACAAAAATTGCTCTAAAAACATTTTGAAAGATAATCACAAGCCAAAACATGTGTTTGCAAGACTGAGGATGTACCTTCACAATAAAAATAAAACAACAAGTGTCAAAGTGAAAGGTCAGAGATATCAAATGTCAAACTTAGTACTTAAGGTAATCAGACATTTCATACTTAATAACCTAATATGTTATTATTCTTACTAACTAGTCCTGCTGCGGTCAGGGGACCTCTAAATGTGGGGCAAAACCGGGTTCTGAGAAGTTAAGGTGGAAGTGGCAGCCCTGCTCCTACATCTATAAGTGGTTTCCATGGGAGAACAGCGTCGTCGTCAAGGAGCCTAGGAATTGACCCCGGCTCCCTGACTCAGGTGGTCGGCTGCAGCCTGCGTTGTTGCCACCCCAGACCCCCCCCCGCCCCCCGCACCAGCTCGGCACCTCTCACTCCGGCAGCCCAGCCGCAGCCAGAGATGGTGTCACACTGGTGCTTCACACCCAGCAGCTCTGAAGCGGCTCTTCTCACTCTGAGGTCATCGGCTCCAGGGCCCTCCGGGCAGGCAGGCCGGCCGCCTCGAACCGAGAGCGGGGAGACCGCACCCCAGCACCCCGTCACAATGGGGAAGTTCTGGCTGATGTCTATTCTAAACCTGAAATCAGGTTTTATTCTCTCAGCCCCCTGCAGACAGGGGACCCTCCCTAAGAAACTGAGGCGGGGCCAAGCCGGAATGGGGCGGGGCATAGGCGGGGCTGTTCCCGCGGTGGCCCCGAGCAAGAGGAAGTTCTGTCCGGGACCGGCCCAGCTGGCCCGGAGCCAATGGCCTGGAAGGGCCTGCTGGAGCGAGCACCGCCCACCCGGTGCCCTAGGGGCGGGGCCTGGTCGGGGGCGGGGCCACGGCCGAGGGCGGGGCAGTGAGGCAGCATGCTAAACCGGGTGCGCTCGGCCGTCGCGCACCTGGTGAGCTCCGGGGGTACTCCGCCTTCGCGCCCCAAATCCCCGGACCTGCCCAAAGCGACCTCTGCGCCGCCCGCCGCTGCTCCAGAAGCACCCAGGAGCCCTCCGGCAAGAGCCGGGGCCGGGAGCGGGGCACCTGCGAGGGTTGTAGAGGCTCGAGCGAGCTTCTCCAGACCGACCTTTCTGCAGCTGAGCCCCGGGGGGCTGCGACGCGCCGACGACCACGCGGGACGGGCTGTGCAAAGCCCCCCGGACACGGGCCGCCGCCTGCCCTGGAGCACGGGCTACGCCGAGTGAGCGCCCTTTGGGGCACCCAAACCAGAATGGGACTCCCACCCCCCTCCCCAGCTCGGCATCCCCGGCGCTAGGATGCGTCCCCCACGCCGCGCTCGGTGCCAGGCGCTCCCTCTTCCCAGGACCTTGGCTATCCTCCGGGCTTCGGGCCGCACCCCCTCCCAGCCCTCGCCTGTCGCGTGCAGCCTGAATCTCCTTCTTCAGGACCTTCCAGCTCATTGACTACCCTCACCCACGCCGCCCCAGGACCCCGTTCCTCCCCACAGCCCGGAGGGCGCAGGGCCCCGCAAAGGATGAGTTGGCCAGTTCTCAGTCGCGGCCCGGCGCTTTAAAGGCTGAGGGAGGAGGGATCTCAAGAAGGAGCGGGATTCCTTTTGATAGGGGAGATAGAGGTTGGGAAGACGCGCTCACTGGCTTCCCAACCCCAGCGCCCCAGTTCCCTGTCCCTCTTACTGTAGTTCCCTTCCCCCTCCACACCCAGAAATAGCCCGTGACACCGGGAGGCCGCCAGCGTCCTCAGGGGTGGGGGAGGCGCCGCCTGGGGTAGAAGGAGGGTCCCTTTTAGCCGCACCTAAGCTGGCCATCTCGCGCCGGCCGTGCGATGAAGCTGACCCCGGGTCGGAGCGGACGGCTTGCTCCCAGGCTGTGGGCTCTTTTCCTTGCATCTGCCGGCAAAGCGGAGCACCGAGGGAGACAGGGGCCCTGAGGGCGCTGAGGGCGGTGGCTGGTGGCCCCGTCCCCCTCCCGACCACCTCCTTTAGCTTCCTCCAAGAGAGGAGTTTGTGGTTACAGGGGCTCCTGCCCAGTCCAGGTGGGCTTCCACTCCCACTCTATTTCAATTCCTCTTTCCGAGTCTGGGCTGGAGTACTTCCTCGTTGCCAACGCAGCAGAAACTTTCGCTGGATAGTTTTAGGATAAGGGTGGGTGTGCCCCTAAAGGTGAGGTGCTGGAAACAAGGCACTAGCGGAGTTGACTGGGGCTAGGCGTGGGATGTTGGGTCTTGGATAGCAGGAAAGTGAAACTTCATGCCCCCATTTAGCTCTTTACCCCAGCAGCACCACCAGGGACGCCTCCCTTTCCAGGGATGGGGGAACTGAGGCAGGCAGGTGCTGCGCTGGCCTTTCTGTGAGGCGATAGGGCCTGCCACCCAGACAGTAGTCCTTGGGCCTTGCCCGCCCTCCCTTCTCCTTCTTCCTCTGGCCTGGATCCCAGGTGGCTGTGACCTTTCTCAGCTTGGCCAGCCAATAGCAGAGGATGTGTGTGTCTAAGGTGGGGGTTATTCCAGGACCTGGTCTGGCATCCAACCTGATGTGGTCATTCTGGCCCGGCAGGGTCATCAACGCTGGCAAGAGTCGGCACAATGAGGACCAGGCTTGCTGTGAAGTCGTGTACGTGGAAGGTCGGAGGAGCATTATGGGGGTACCTAGGGACCCTAGCCGAGGCCAGGTAAGCCCCCACTCTCTTCCTTAGCCTCCAGAGACACAGTGACACCTCTCCCCAGAGACTTCATGCATCTGGTTTTAAATCTGAGACGTGTGGAAGACCTGTCTCCTAAGTCACTAGCTTTCTACCTTCTGGCACAGAACTCTTACCTGGCATCGATCAGTTAGATTCTACCATATCAGTATGAATGTTTACTTTTCTGCTTAAAAGGTAGAGACTCTCATATTTATGGATGACTTAATTGATTACCAATGCTGATTTTTGCCTCTTTTATCCCCTGAGAGTGGCTTTCCTGAGGCTTTCCCTTTCTTGACACATAGTAGGTCCTATGTGAATAAGTGAATAAACCCAATTTGCCTTTAATACCAAGCACTGACTTCCTCTTTGATGTTTTATGGATGCTCAGAATCCTGTTCTTCTCCCTGCATCTCTCTCTCTCTCACCTTCAACTTTTCCTCTGTCAGGGACTCTGCTTCTACTACTGGGGCCTGTTTGATGGGCATGCAGGGGGTGGAGCTGCTGAAATGGCCTCAAGGCTTCTACATCGCCATATCCGGGAGCAGCTAAAGGACCTGGTAGAGATACTTCAGGACCCCTCGCCACCACCTCTCTGCCTCCCATCCACTCCAGGGACCCCAGGTTCCTCCGATCCCTCTCACTTGGTTAGTCCTCAGTCCTGCTGGTCTTCACAGAAGGAAGTGACCCATGAGAGCCTGGTAGTGGGGGCCATTGAGAATGCCTTCCAGCTCATGGTGAGTGGGTGACCTGGGCCAAGGGGCCCACTAGGCCAACACTCTAGTCAACTCTGTGTGGGAGCCCGGTGGCCTGAGGGGAGTGACCCCAAGAACCCACAGCACCTTTGAAAGCCTGAGCAGAGCTTGGTTCCCAGGGGAGGGAGCAGGGGCGGTTACACCCATGTCTTCCTTCCTCTCCTGCAGCATGGCGTGGCTGGTCCAGTTGAATTCTGCAGATGGGGTGGGGGAGGGAAGAGGGTGGCTGTGTGCCTGAAACCTCTTCTTCTTCCACCCCCTCTGACCCTTATGTGGCAGGATGAACAGATGGCCCGGGAGCGGCGTGGCCACCAAGTGGAGGGGGGCTGCTGTGCACTGGTTGTGGTCTACCTGCTAGGCAAGGTGTACGTGGCCAATGCGGGTGACAGCAGGTATGTGGAGGGGGGCTTTGAAATTCGCTGCAGGGTCCACATTCTCTAGGATGGGGGAATAGAAGAGAGTGGGGTGGTGGGGGTTGAAAACTGAAGATTGGAGGGCATCAGGAGGGATCACAGACAAAAGGAAAAGCCTGAAATATCCAGGAGGGGAGGAAAAATGGGGTCTGGGTAAGGAATCCTAAGGGTCATTATGGGGAGGGCCTGGAATTTTCCATGAGAGGTCTGAGGAGAACCAGGCCCAAACCTTTTTTCTCTGGGCAGGGCCATCATTGTCCGGAATGGTGAAATCATTCCAATGTCCCGGGAGTTTACCCCGGAGACTGAGCGCCAGCGTCTTCAGCTGCTTGTAAGTAGGAAGCAAACTCTCCACCCCCATTCTTTGTTGGGTCTTGCGCCTCTCTGCACCCAATGTCCCTGAGAACTCTCACACCCCCACCACATGCACAGAAAGCTCCTTCCTGGGAGCTGAGTGGGAAGGCTGCTGTACCAGCTGAGTGAGGGCTGAGCTGGTGGAAGGAGGCAAAAGGAAGGAGCCTGGGCTGGTCCAGTGCTCCCACTGCAGCCCCAGCTGAGGCAGGAGGTAGAGTCAGAGGTGGGGGAAGGGAACAGCAAAGGCCCTTGAAAGGCAGTATGGCTTCCTGTTGAAACGCATGGGCTCCGGAGCTGGACTGCCTTGGGATATGTTCTGGTTTGAGCACTTTGTTAAATATCCGACATCAACAATTCCCTCAACCTCTCTGTGCATCAGTAGTTTCTCGCTTAAGGGCTGTTGTGAGGAGTAAATGAGTTAATATTAGAGCAGTGTGTGGCACATGCTAAATTATATTTAAGGGTCTGCTATAAACAACATGGTCTGTATACCGGGGTGTGCTGTGAGCTTAATGCCCCCTGGCCCTTCACTCTATCTAGCCATTCCCCACCCTAGGGCTTCCTGAAACCAGAGCTGCTGGGTGGTGAATTCACACACCTTGAGTTCCCCCGCAGAGTTCAGCCCAAGGAGCTGGGGCAGAGGATGCTGTACCGGGACCAGAACATGACTGGCTGGTAACACTTCCCTCAGAGCTGGGGCCCGTTCCCATGGCAACGCAACCAGTCCCTCACCAGCTGTGAAGTGGAAGCTGGAGGCTGGGCCAGGCTGGGAGTTGGGGGGATGTGGTCCTGCTAATGGGTTTGTGTGAGGGTGTGCCACTCCCAGGGGAAGAGGCTTTGATACCTGGGTGATGCCTCCTCTACTCCCCCCTCCCCAGGGCCTACAAAAAGATCGAGCTGGAGGATCTCAGGTTTCCTCTGGTCTGTGGGGAGGGCAAAAAGGTAAACTCCATGGTAGAGGTGGGAGAGGGCAGGAGGACCCACTACAACTTATCTAGGGAGGTGGAGGTTCTACCTGAGGGTAGGGGTGGGAGGGGTCTATTGTTGTAGAGAGTCTGGGAGGGACTATAGCAGCAGCCCCTCCTCATTTCCTTTAGGCTCGAGTGATGGCCACCATTGGGGTGACCCGGGGCTTGGGAGACCACAATCTTAAGGTCTGCAGTTCCAATTTGCCCATCAAGCCCTTCCTCTCCTGCTTCCCTGAGGTGAGCTGTATGGGAGTCCCCTTAACCACACTGTCCCTCCTCTGGGGGTCTCTGAGTGGTTCTTATCCCTCAGCTCCCTGTCCATCAAACCTACACACCAGTCCTCTCAACCCTTTTTCCTCGCCAGGTACGAGTGTATGACCTGACACAGTACGAGCACTGTCCGGATGATGTGCTAGTTCTGGGAACAGATGGCCTGTGGGATGTCACCAGCGATTGTGAGGTAGCTGCCACTGTGGACAGGGTGCTGTCAGCCTACGAGCCCAATGACCCGAGCAGGTAGGAGTTGTATGGCATGGTGGTGAGGGGATGGCACTGGTGAAGGAAGGGGCAAAGGAAAACAGTGCCTGGGGACCCACATGTGGGTCTGTGTATCTATCTTCCCATATACACGATGGAACATGAATGTGCACATGTGCTCCTGGCAGGTATACAGCCCTGGCCCAAGCTCTGGTCCTGGGGGCCCGGGGCACTCCCCGGGACCGTGGTTGGCGTCTCCCCAACAACAAGCTGGGTTCCGGGGATGACATCTCAGTCTTCGTCATCCCCCTGGGAGGGCCAGGCAGTTACTCCTGAGGGGCTCATCTGCATTCCTTCCACCACCATCCCAGCCTCTCCATACTTATCCCTCTCCCAGCCCAAATTCTGAAGTTGTCTCCCTGACTCTTCTTTAGTGGCAATTTAACTAAAGAAGGGATGTCCACTAGATCCAAAATTTTAGCTATTGGCAAATAAAACAGATGGATAAAGATGTGTGTCTTTATTTGCTTTGGGTAGAAACCGAAAGGTAAAGAAAACTCTTTGGGGTGGTGGAAAGAACACCAGAACAGTCCTACAAATGTAGCATTCCCAGGTTCTTTCTTCTTCCTTCCACTCTTCTCACTCCATGCACTTGCCATGACTGTTCTCATTGACTACTGTGACATCATCCGTCTACTCATGTCTGTTAAGTCCGTGTTTTTCAGCCCAGACCGTTCCCGAGCTTTGGACACATACATCCCAGTCATCTCCCAACCGTCTCCTAGACAGCCCTTCGGCACTTCAACTCAACATACCTCAAACTGAATTCACCGTTTCCCCCCGTAATATGTTCCTTCTCCTGGTTCATCAGTCAATGGGCATCAGCTCCACTGCTCAAGTTAGAAATCTTAGAATTGGCCACCCTTGGCTTTCATTTCTTCCTCATCAAGCTAATGGATCACTAAGTATAGCTGATTATATATCTTAAAAAACATTTCATATTTGTCTTCTTCTTCCACGCCCACTGTCACCACGTTAGTTCTTTACTATGTCATCCTCCTAACTTCAGTGGCTCCTTATTGTACCTAGAGAAAAATTGACATTCAACTCCTGAGCATGGCATATGAGGACCTTCACGATCTGCCCACTGCTGCCTCCTCCAGCCTCATCTTTTACCACCACCACCGTCCCCCTCCTGGATTCCCATTAACTCTGTGAGCCTCTAGTAGCACCAGCTAATTATTTAAAAATCTACATATCACTTTGTCTTGAACACTTCACCTGTCCCTCAGCCCATGCATGCCCCACGACAGCGATGGCCTCCTGTGTTAGAACTGTCCATATTAGGAGTCGGTAGCCAGTAGCAGTTAAGAGCAGGGGCTCTAGAGGCCAGCTGTTTAGGTTCTGGTGCCAGACCTAACCCTAGGTCTGTAACCTCTGCGGGCCTCAATTTGCTTATCAGGAAAATGGAGATATAACAGTACTACCTCCTAGGGTTGTTGTAGTTAATGTATGTAGAGCCAGGTCCATGTAATAAGGGTTCAATAAATGTTAGCTCTCTTGAAATTGTATTCCTCATTTAGACCATAAGTTGTTTGAAGGCAGAAATTGATCTTCGGCACACAGCTCCCAGTTGACAATAAATTTTTACTGATTGAGTTAAGAGGCCTGGGAACAAAACTGCTGTAGACCTCAGTTTCCTCATTTATCAAATGTCTGAGTTGTACATCAGGTCGTTAAAGGCTATATGAATTCTAACATTCATTCATTCAGCAAATATTTGTTGAAAACCTATTTTGTGCTACACACTGGGCTGGACAGTGGGGGAAGGGACAGGTTGGAAGAACCTGGGAGGCAGCAGCAGGGAGAGACCACCAACTTTGGAGTCAGGCCTGACCCTCCGAGTTCTTGCTCTGTCACAAATCTCAAAACATCTGTGCAAACCACTTAAGTTCTCTGAGCTCAGTTTCCTCACAAGCAAAAGGGGATGGATATACTTATCCCAAAGATCTGTGATGAGTCTTAAAGGGGTTGAGGGTATTTAGTGTACCAAGCACAAGCCAGTGAAATGTTGGTAGATTTCCTCATTTTACGTTCACTTCCTCAGTCAGCCACCTTACAGGGAAGGAGACGTACATGTAGGTAAATATCTTATGTGCCCAGGTCAGTCCTGGCTGAGTGTCTCTAACCACATAGAAAGATATAATAGGAGAGGGAACTGAATTCCTAGCTGGGGATCCAGAAGCATTTCTAGGAGAGCCCCTTGAGGGGTAGGTAGGAATTGGAGTCGTGGAAATTCCAGGCCGGGAAGAAAGGGAATTGTGAGGTGGAAGGGTGGTCTGGGTCTGAACGGTCTGAAAAGTCTTCAAGGCGAGGGGATGATGCTGGGCAGTACCTGCTCCGCAGTGAGTCTAGGAGCAGAGAGTGGGCATTTTTGCACCCTCCGCCCCCTGGGCGCCCCGAGGCCGCCGTTTCCCCATCCCGCCAGGTCCCCAAGTGGGGCAGGAGCGCGTGGCCGGTTGGCCACAGGAGGGCAGCAGCGGCCCTTCCGGACCCCACCCCGAGCGCCTCTCAACTTTCCCGACGCCGGTCCTCCCCTAGGGGCTGGAAGGTGGGGCAGAGCCTGAGTCCTTGGGGTCCCGCTCCTCTGCAGTCCCGGAATCTCCCGGCGACTCCCCTCGGCCAGGCGGCCGGCGCCCACACCTCCGGCCTGCCTGCGGCTGGGGCGAGCCGCCGCTGCCCTGGGCGGGGGCCGGGGCGGGCCGAGCCAAGGGCCGCCCCCGGGCCGACCCTCCCCCTGCCCGGCCCGCCCCTCCCCGCCGCCCCGCAGGAGGAGGGCGGGGCGGGGCCCCCGGGGTCAGTCTGAGCCTCCGGCACCGGCCGCGCAGCTGGAGGCGGCGGAGCGGAAGGTACCCTGGGCTGGGGCTGTGGGCGGCGGGGCGTCCTGGGAACTCGTCCCCGGGAGGGCACTTTCCCCTCTCCACTCCCCCGGAGCCGGGGCGCGGCTGGGGAGGGGATTTGGCCCGAGCGTGCGCCGCGTTCCCTTCCTTTGGACGCGGCGTCCGGGCTGGGCAGGGGTCCGGCCGGGTCGGCCCCTTCCCGGGCTGCAGCGAGCGGCCCCCGGAACTGCCGGGCAGGACTCTGGCCTCCTGGGTCCGAACCAGAGCCCTTTCCTTCCCCTGCCGGCTTCTCGGAACCTGCCCCGCCGGGCGAGGGGCGAGGGGGCGACTTGGATCTTCGCGAGGGAGCCTCCGCCCACACACCGTGGCTCCCAGGCCTGGCGGCCCGCGTGGACCCGGAGTGCGTGGGGGTGGGAATTCCCCCAGGCCAGGAGGGTGGAATGGCGGGAATAGGGGCGGGATGTGACCGTGGGAGCTGCCGCTGTTCGGCGGGGCCGCCTTAGACGGTTCCTGGAACCTGCCTGTGTTACCGGGTAGGGAAGGTCCGCGAAAGATCCAGCTCCTGTGTGTGTGAGAGAGAGGGAGAAAGATTCTCCCCCTCCTCCCACCCTGGAAAGAAGCATGATAAGATTACTTTGGGGGTTGGGCTGGGAGATCCTAGGCTGAATCCTGCCCGCAATTCTGGTTTTAAAGTTGAGGATGAGGTATTTCCTGAAGACTGATTCCTTCCCTAGATCTCGGGGCAGGGGGCGAAAGGGTCAGCAGCATCAGCTGGCCCCTCTGGCTCATCTGGGAAATCAAGAGAACGACTGAGGAGAGGTCTGGTGTAGCCGCAGTGTCTTGTGTAGCGAAGAAGGCCCCAGAAGTTCCAGGCTGCATTCCAGGCCCTTTGTGGGGTTTGCTCCTCTTAGGGTCAGTGGGACAGTTCCTCTGGGCCTACCTCTTACAGCCAGTTGTTGTCCGTGCCATCTTGGCCTTGGCTGGGCCTGGTGTCCTGGCCTGGCCTGGGCTGCCTGCTCTTCTGGCTCAACCGGAGCCTGGAGGGCAAGTCTTCTAATTGAGCTGGAGGCTCAAGGTCCCCGAATGCACCCCCTAATCTGAAATTCTGGCCTCTGCCCCCCACCATCTATCTGGTGCCACCCAAACTGCCCTGCTGGGGCATAGCAGTGGCATACACATGCCTAAGTGGCTGGTATTCATCCCAATAGTGGCTGCCCTTGATCAGCATTGCCCACCCCGGTTGGGGCTACTCCAGCCTGTTTTTATACAGTGGGACCAGCTGAACTAATTAATGGGAGTGGGTGGGGAAGTTGGAAGAAATCCTAGTGTCAGTCACCTGGGTAGAATTCCCAAAGAACCTCCTTTTTGGATGATGATTCCCATTTTTGGAGGGGATCTGCTGAATGCCTTCTTGCCTGTCTTTTAGGGTATCAGGGAGAGCCCCTTTTGGGGTAGGGAGAATGTGGCTGTGAACTCCTATAAATTCTCTCTGACTCATGTCCACTTCTCCCACATCCCGGTTTTGTGAGTGTGTGGTGTGTGTATGTATGTGTGTGTGTGGAGGGGAGGGAGGGGCCACCCGGGATCCCACTGTTGAAGAGAGATAGCCTTGGGCTAGAGTATTTGCCTCCTAAAAGGCAGACCTAGGCCGGGCTGTGAGGTGGTGGTATGTGGGGAGTAAAAGAGTTCAGCTCAGTTTGACAGGATGTGGCTCTGAGAGAAAAAGCCAGGTTTGGGGCAGAGATCAAGTTACCATCCCCTTCTTAACTGCTTCTGGCCTGGTTGGTGCTGCGCCTGGCCCTCATTTTTCTCTCCTTTTGGGGCTCCTCCCAGCCCAGGCTCTAGCCCCCTCCCCCTTCCCAACAGCCTTGACTTCTTCTCAGCCCTGAGCCCGCCCTCTCTTCCTCCCAGGCTGTAGGCCTGGGAACTTCAGCCGGCTGGAGGTCTGCTCCCCTCCCCAGGGAAGAAGGAAGTGAAGGAAGCTCCGAAGGTGTGATGAACTGGGCAGATGCTCATTCATGTGTGTTGGGGGTGGCGGACACACAGAAAGCCAGGGAAGCTGACTCCTTGCCCTGAGTCACAGGGAGGGGTGGGCAGGGCTTTTGGGTGAGCTGGACAGAGGGAGGAAGGGGTTGTTACAGAGAATGGGTGGAGGTGAATCCCTAGTGGATTATTCTGTTGCTCTGCTGTGGTGGATGTGTGGCTCTGTACAGTGTGGTCATTGTCCCCTGCCAGGAGCTGAGTGGCCCAGTGTTGCTGCCAGGCCCAGGAGAAAGGGGGGAGGAGGGCAGACTGCCCGAATGAGAGCTGTGGGCACTTCAGGGACTGAGCTTCCTTTGTGTGACTCCAGGCTTTGGGGACCAGGTGGGGTGGGCCAGGGAAGCCAGCCGGCTACTGCCACTGTCGTCTGTCTGGGTTTCCCTGCTTCTCTCCTTCCCACCTCTGGGGTGATATGTAGAAAAGGCATAGACTTGAGTCACACAGGCCTGCTTTGAGCGATGTCCCTGCCACTTATGTGCCATGACTCTGAATACATGTCTTAACTTCACTGAGCCTTAGTTTCCTCGTTTGTCAAAATGGGAAATGCACCATCTACCTTCCAGGCGTCTAGGGAGATAATTTATGTCATAATGCCAAAAATAGTGCCTCGGATCTATAAGTATTCTTTCCCTTACGCATCTACCATCTGGTAGCTGGTGCCACTAGTCTGTGGTCTCACAGAGAGGACTCTGCATTTGAGACTAGGCAAGTGTGACTCGTGCAGAGGGACAGTCTGTTCTAGATTGGACCTTTGTGATTATTAAACTTTAAATACACCAAAATCCTGGTAACAAATAAAGTCTGACTTGAAATCCTGATATGTAAAGTAGATAAAAGCTAGACATGTCCCGGATCCCTGAGCATGTCTCTAGGTATCTGGGGTCCCCCAGTTGGTGAGTGGATTAGATTGAAACTCCTGTTTTCTGGCTCCCAAGTGGGTTCTTCCATCTCCCACTGCTGTACTTCAACCCATCTGGGAAGACGTGTCCCTGACCCAGAGATTAGGAATTTTAAACTCTGTTGCCAGCACAATTGGTTCTTGATAGGAACATGCCTGAGCAAGCTCTCCCTTTCCTCCCTTTGCTGGATGCCTCGGTTTCCAAGAAGGTTTGAGGGGCTCTAGAGAAGTGATGTTGACCTTACTGGCTTTTCCCCAAATCCCCACTGCCTTTTGCCTGCCAGCCCCAGCCATGGCTGCAATCCGAAAGAAGCTGGTGATCGTGGGGGATGGTGCCTGTGGGAAGACCTGCCTCCTCATCGTCTTCAGCAAGGATCAGTTTCCAGAGGTCTACGTCCCCACCGTCTTTGAGAACTATATCGCAGACATCGAGGTGGACGGCAAGCAGGTGAAGCCGAAGAGCCCCTTCCCAGCTTGCCTTGGGGACCGATCACTTAGAGACCTAGTGCGTCTTTCCCCACCACCCACCCACGTCCTTGCTTCATTCTCCCTGCTAGGACCAGTAAAGGTTAGGAAGTGAAATTGTGGTCTTAGGAAACCTGGATCTACCTTCTGATAGAAGGGCTACTGCTTACTAGCTCTGTAATCTGGGCTGAAACTCCCCCAGCTGCAAAACAGGATGACAGTAAGACCTCCCCCCTCAGAGAGTTGTGAGAATTAACCAAAATTACGGTGTTCACAGTGACAATTCATATACCATGCAAAGGTCAAACATGTCTTAAGATTTAAAAAAACAAACAAAACCCTAATGTGACCTAATTTGTGTGATAGTGATAAATACAATGCCTGGCACATACCAAGTGCTCAGTAGAGATGTTCAGTGAGCCTAAAGGACTGGCGGTTTCTGAGCAGACCTCTGGGTGGCAGGGTTGGGGACCTCAGGCTAGCTACTCACTGTCCTGTTTATCAGGTGGAGCTGGCTCTGTGGGACACAGCAGGGCAGGAAGACTATGATCGTCTGCGGCCTCTCTCCTACCCGGACACCGACGTCATCCTCATGTGCTTCTCCATTGACAGCCCCGACAGCCTGGGTAAGGGCACCTGAGGGAGGGTGGGATCAGCGGAGGCCTCTTGCCTTGGCTTCAGATGCGGGGTGCAGGCAGCACTGCCTCTGCTGGTCTCCTGGACTGTGGTAACCCCAGTACGGGCGAGGAGGAGGGGTTTTGGGCCGTGAAAGGAACTATCATGCCCAGTGGCCTCTAAGACTCCTGTGGGAAGATGAGGGGGCCCCCAGGGGAGCTTTCTAGCCTAAGTGGAGGCACTGATACCTGTTGGGACACGTCTGTGCAGAAAACATTCCTGAGAAGTGGACCCCGGAGGTGAAGCACTTCTGCCCCAATGTGCCCATCATCCTCGTGGGAAATAAGAAGGACCTGAGGCAAGATGAGCACACCAGGAGGGAGCTGGCCAAGATGAAGCAGGTGGGTGCAGCTGTCAGCTTGGAGCCCTTGGGGAGGAAGGCACCCTCAGAGGGGGTGCACAATGGGAAAGGGGGTGTCTCTTGGACACTTGCCCCGTTAGAGGAGACGGTGATGTCCACCTCCTGTGTGTCCGCACCCTGGTGAGGGAGACCCAGAAGGGTGCTCAGTGTCTGACAAAATTTCTGATCAAATTATTAGAGAAATATGAAGTGACTTGTCTAAATCCGCTTGGCATTTTTATTCCAGTTTATTGCCCATCCTGTGTTTGGAATTAAGACAAATAGGAAAATCTCTGCCCTCAGGGAGACAGCTTCTTGTATTTCACCTGGGAGACGTGCCCTGCGCCATCAGGGTTTCTCTGGGGAGGTGTGGGCTGACATGGGTGCAGGAGGGAGGGCACTGCAAGCGGCTGGAGGAAAGGCCAGGAGGGTGAGAGAGCTGGCTTATTCAGGGGCCTGGTGTCTCTCTGGCCAGAGGGCTAGAGTTTATTAGAGAAAGCTGCCAGGACAAGGAATGCAGGCTATCTTGCAAGGATAATTGCGGCAGGGTTTTAAAATGGGGATAGATGTCAGGTCTGCATGTTAGAAAGGTAATTCTGGTGGCTACAGAGGATGTCATGGAGGAAGGTGAGAGTGGAGGCAGGGAGGTCAGGAGGTGGCAGCGCTCACTCAGGCAAGAGAAATTGTACTGTGGGGTGCAAGGCTGCACGGGAGAGGAGGGAATAGACTGGAGAGAATTTTGAATGTAAACATAAGAGTGCTGGATTCCTGACCATGAAGCTGCCCAGGGTAGCCTGGGGTCTGGGTGCTTTGTGGGGTCAGGGCTGGAGGTATTTGTTCTAGTTTCTACTACGCTTATGGGTGAGGTGGGAAGAGGTACACAAGCCACTAGCTTCCTCTGACCCCTCATCTTCTGTCTTCTCAGGAGCCCGTTCGGTCTGAGGAAGGCCGGGACATGGCGAACCGGATCAGTGCCTTTGGCTACCTTGAGTGCTCAGCCAAGACCAAGGAGGGGGTACGGGAGGTATTCGAGATGGCCACTCGGGCCGGCCTCCAGGTCCGCAAGAATAAGCGCCGGAAGGGCTGTCCCATCCTCTGAGAGCCCCAAGGCTTCCCTTACATGCCCCACTCTCTTCACAGGGGTGCAGAAATTCCCCAGCCCCCACCCCAGCCTCTTAGGACTCCATGCTGAAGGCTCCCTTTTCAGTCCCCTCCTGCCCAGGACTGCACCTAATTTCCCCAGCCCCAAGGTGGTGGTGGTGGTGGTGGTGGGAGGCCCTGGCCCAGGCCCCTGGGAACCCAGGCCTCTGCCCCGCCCTTCCTGAGCAGAGCTCCTGAGGCTCTTGCTCCCTTCGACCTTCCCCAGAGGATGGTCACACACCAGCACTTTATATACTTCCGGCTCACAGGAGAGTGCCTAGGGTGGGGACTTAGAGGGCATAACCCAGAGTCCCAGGCCCCTGGGGTTTTCTGCTTTGGGCAGGGGCCGTGTCTCTGACTGCACTTGGTGGGGGGCATGAATAAAGACCACAGGTTCCAATGTGTGTGGCAATTTCCTGTCTTTCTCTCCCTGTCTGGGCTGCAAGCCTGGAGTCCCATCTCTCCCCATTTCCAATTTGCTTGCCAGGCTGGCCCCCTGTCTGTCAAGGCAGGACTCCCGCCAGCAGGGTGGAGTCTTAGAGTCCAGGATGAGGTCATGGCTGGCTCCGGGCCTAGGAGGCGGGTTAGGGGAGTGGTCTGTAGCTGGGACTAAACTTAGAAACCTGTGGGTGGCTTCCCTGCCACCTCCCACTGGGTTTCCTCCCTGGATGTGGGGGCTGGGTTTTCTCTCTAGCTGGGAGTGGGTGTGACAGTCCCACCCTCCCACGCAGGGTCAGCTTGGGGGCTCAGGAACCTGGGGCCAGTCTGAGGAGACATCAAGGCTTTTGCATAGAACAAGATTTTGTTTTCAGAGTTTTTCTTCCTCCCCCTTCCCCCAATTGTTAGCAGCTTGATGTGTCATTCTCCCCAGGAGGGGAGGGGGTGGAATGGCTTGGGTTTGTACACTCCCGCCCCCAGCATTCCTGTCCCTTGGAGGGGCAGCTTGGCTGGGTCTGGGGTCAGGCAGGGTTCTGGTTCAGGGTCAGGCAGGCAGTTAAGGCTTGGCTGGTGCGAGAAGGCCGGCTGCTGTGTCTTCAGAGCTCATTCCTCCACTCTGGCTCCACTTGCAGGGACAGGCCCCCTTCACCCTCCTGCTCCTGGAGGAGGAGGTAGTCGTGACTTTGGGGCCCTAGAAAGAAAAGAGGTACGCTTTGTCTTCCTTTCTTCCTCCTCCAGCACTGGCCCTGACCTGGCCCGAGGCCCTGCCATACCTGAGGTAGAGGGGCTGAGCTTGCTCAGACCTTGGAGTAAGTTCTGTCCCTGCTGCAGGTCCAGCTTGGCAGGGAAGGGGCACCCGGTGTACCCTCCATTTTCTTTACAGAACTCCAAGAATCTGTGGGGTACAGAGAAGCATCAGCAGAGGCTAAGCCTGGGTCCTGTAACATCTGTGCTATACTTGCTTAACCTCTAAATATCAGTTAACTTACAGATACAGTGAGGGTGTTGTGAGGATGGACAGATCTGAGGATTAATGAAACTATAAGCAGGTGTTTAATAAAGATACGTCTGCCCTAGGCTGGGGGTTGGGGCCACCCAGAGGGATCCCGGTGGGAATGCTCACACTTTCCAGTCGGGGTCATGGCCCAGGAGAAGGGGGTTGCCCACTATGATGAGCAAAGCCTTGGCCCGGGTCACAGCTACGTTGAACCTCTGGAAGGAAGAAGTGGCGGGGTCAAGGGAGGGAAGGGCCTAAGGAAGAAGTGCTGCCCACCCAACGGCCCTCAAACCTTGGGGTTCTTCAGGAAACCCAGGTTAAAGTCCAGATCCAGCTGCACAAAGCTCTGGCTGCTTCGCACGGTGGAGATAAGGATGACACTCCGTTCTTGGCCTTGGAATTCTTCCACAGAGCCCACCTAGATGGGAGAGAGGCAGGGCCTGAGACCAGGGGTGTCAAAGGGGTACCACAGGGACGTGTCCTGCCCAGGGAGCTTGAGTTCCAAGAAGGGTACAGAAAAGTCACCAGGCAACTATAGATCAGTGGTTCGAGTAAATGAACATTGTGACAGTGACCAGGAAAAGAGGACAGGAGGTATGCTGTGGAAGCCGAAACCTGAAGGATGAGTCCAGTTAAGGGGGTGGGGCCTGGAAAGTGTTCTGAGCAAAGAAAACAGCATGGAAAAACATGGTAACTCAGAGCAGTGTTTTTTGTTTTTGTTTTTTTTTTTTTTTTGAGACAGAGTCTCACTTTGTTGCCCAAGCTAGAGTGAGTGCCGTGGCGTCAGTCTAGCTCACAGCAACCTCAATCTCCTGGGCTCAAGCGATTCTCCTGCCTCAGCCTCCCAAGTAGCAGGGACTACAGGCACGCACCACCATGCCCGGCTAATTTTTTTTTTTTTGTATATATATTTTTAGTTGGTCAATTAATTTCTTTCTATTTTTAGTAGAGACGGGGTCTCGCTCAGGCTGGTTTCGAACTCCCGACCTCGAGCAATCCGCCCGCCTCGGCCTCCCAGAGTGCTAGGATTACAGGCTTGAGCCACTGTGCCCGGTCCAGAGCAGTATTTTTTAAACTTTCCTGAAAATAATCTCTAAGTACTTGTTAAGAATATACAACCCTGGGCCCTAACCCAGACCTCCTGATCAGAATTACCAAGAGAAGGCCTTTAAATCTTAAAGCAGTGGTTTTCAACCCTGGCTGCACATTATCATAGAATCACCTGAGGAGCTGTAAAAAATGCCAAAGCCCCAGCCCTGCCCTGCCCCTAGACAGCAGTGTTAATTGGCTGGCTGGGGTCCTGGCACTGGCAGGTTGAAAAGCTCTCCAGGCGATTTTTATCTGCAGCCAGTGTTGAGAACCACAACCTCAGAGAAAGAGTCAAGCTACTGAGGGTAGGGCTGAAGGTGACAGCATCACATGACATATCCCATAAAACCCGGAAATTGAACTTTATCCTGAGGGCAGAGGCCTCAGACCTGCCTAACCGTAAGAATGACACGAGGCACTTATTAAACATGCAGGCTTCCTGACCCCACCCTAGACCTTTAAGTTGGAATCTCCAGGAGTTGAGGCTTGAGGAGAGCCCCAGTTCCATCTCAAGGCAGTGGGAATAGGATGGGGACATGGGCTGGACAGGAGCAGAAGCCTGAGGAGGTGTCTGAAAGTGGGTAAGTGGGGGTAAACAGAGGGCAGGGAGCGAACGTGGAATAGTGTGTCACCTTCAAGTCCTTGATGTCATCCAGGCCCCGAAGCTCCTTGTCAAGTTTGGTGATGCAATAACGGATTTTTTCCACCTGGAAGGAGGGGACAGATGCCTTTCTTTCATGCCATTACCCCAATGCAAGAGTGAGCCAGGCATGAGGCCAGGGAGCTGGGGGACTAGGAGAGGGCAGCTGACCTCTGTGCTCTTCTGAGATACGGGGCCAGCAGAGGCCTGAGCTCCTGGAACCTCTGCCTGGATATTAAAGAGGTACCATCTGGGGGGAGGAGTCCCATCCTTTCTGGGAACTGAGGGCCTGACCTGCTTGCGGTATGGGGAGATGACGCCCACACTTCGAGGGCTCAGGCGGACTTTGCCCTTCTTGGAGGAGGGGGCCAGGAGCAGCTTCAGGTAGGAAGTCACTGTGGCGGCCTCTTCGGGGTTGAAGAAGGATGGGCTGTTGCCCTCACGCTCATCCTTGCCCATCACGCCGTGAAAGATGATGGGAAAGCCCTGGATGTGGGGTCAGGGGAAACGCTCAGCTGGACCTCCCTGCCTCCTTTCCCCCCAACCCCAACCCTTCCAGAGAATAAGGGATCCCAGGCCAAGGTGATCAAGGGAGGGGCCCATGGCTTCCACTCGAAGCATTCCTCCTGCCTTGCAGCTTCAGGAGGACAGAGGTTGGGGTACAGGGGTAGGAGCCCAAGCCCCTGCCCTGCTCAGCCTTACCTTTCGGGGCAGACCCTCCCAGCGGCAGAAGCGCTCTCGATCGATGACGTCAGCACAGGCCTGAAGCTCCCCTTCGTAATACAGCTGGTTAGGAATGTCCAGGATGGTGGGATGAGACCTGGGAGGCAGGAGGAGGAAAGAAGAGCAAGACCAAGGGTCAGACTACTTCTGCCCCACTCTGGGGGACCCCCACTCTACCGCTCTGGGCTCCCACACATTATCCCTCTGCCCTCCTCCCTGGATCCACATCCATCCACAACGTCTGCTGCCAGGCACTGTAAACCACAAAAAGCAGAACCAAATGTAGTTCCAAAAAGAATCTAGTCCAAGGATTTAATAGACCCATGAAATTTTTTTTTTTTTTTTTTTTTTGAGACAGAGTCTCACTTTGTTGCCCAGGCTAGAGTGAGTGCCATGGCGTCAGCCTGGCTCACAGCAACCTCAATCTCCTGGGCTCAGCGATCCTACTGCCTCAGCCTCCCAAGTAGCTGGGACTACAGGCATGCGCCACCATGCCCGGCTAATTTTTTGTATATATATTTTTAGTTGGTCAATTAATTTATTTCTATTTTTGGTAGAGACGGGGTCTCGCTCAGGCTGGTTTCGAACTCCTGACCTTGAGCAATCGCCCGCCTCGGCCTCCCAAAGTGCTAGGATTACAGGCGTGAGCCACCACGCCCGGCCTACCCATGAAATTTTTTAAACAAAAACTAAAAAGATAGGGTAGCTGGGCACAGTGGCTCACGCCTGTACTCCCCACACTTTGGGAGGGTGAGGCAGGAGGATCACTTGAAGCCAAGAGTTTGATACCTGGGCAACATAGTGAGACCCTCATCTCTACCAAAACAATAAAATTAGGGACACATTCTCAGGTTTAAAATTTGCCGAGGAAGGATAGTACCAAAACAAATTATCCTCTATTTTCACTTATTTGATGAGATACAATGCATTAAATCCAATAATATTAAGAAGCAGTGACACAACAGCTAATATTTATTGATCTCTTAGGACAGCCTGAAACTCATCTGGGCATTTTAGAATAACAATAGGTTTATGAAAAACTGTATTCTCCCTGTTTTTCTTACTTATCCTTGGATTGCCTGGAAACTTCATCTGGGACTCACACCAGACACATCTTAGTCTCTGGCAACCGCTGACCACCCCCTAAGATAAGCCGGCTGATCCAGAGAGAAACCACCTGCTAAGTCACACAGACAGCAAGCAGCAGCCATGGGGCCAGAAAGGAGACGTCCTACCTTCCGGATCCTACAGCCTCTGAGCAAAAGGGCTGCGAGCAGATCCACCAGCTGGGGCTGCACGGAGGGTGTGCGGGCGTGGGCTAGCAGGAGAAGCAAGGGGGCGGGATACCTGTAGTTCCGTAGCAGCTTGGTTATAAACTGGGGGTCATAACCATCGGCACCCTTCTTGTACAGGGCATTGAAGGTGAGCAGCCGCTCCAACAGCGAGTACCCCAGCCCGTGCCTCTGGGTCAGTGGGGAACGCAGCACAGGCCCCAGCTGCCGAGGGTCTCCTGCCAGCACCAGCTGCCCTCCTGGATTGCCTGTTTCCTTTACTTCCATCAGCCCTGGGAAGCAGGGGTGGTGTGGGGAGAGCAGTAAGGGGCAAATTCTCCCTGAACCCACGCAGGGTGGCACACCTATAGCCCACCTGAGTCCCTCACCTGCTATGGCCACCAGACTCTCGGGCTCCATGCAGTGGCCAGCCTCATCGATGAAGATGTGTGTGAAGTGATCAATGGGAAACTGGGCTGAGACCAACCTGGGAGGTGTCAGGCCAGGCATGGGTCATACCCAGGCACCCAACTACCAACCCTGAATGCTCATCCAAGCCGGCCCCTCGCCTCACCCTCTAGTAGCCATTCTTCCCATCTCCCAGCCCACTACCCCTTTACTTACACTCACGATTAAGAGACACACGCCCCACCTGCTGGCAGTGATGAGGGTGGTAATTAAGACCGGATATTCCTGTAGCTTCTTCTTGGTGGGAAATACATACTCCCCCTTCTTTGCATCCCAGTTACAGCAGGGCTACAGATTGTGCAAGGACCAGTGGAAGGAATTAGCTTGGCTCCACGCATTCTAACCCTGACTCTGGGGCTGGGCCCCTCAAACAATTTTATCCACCTCCCTCACTCTACAGACCAAACAACTGAGGCCCAGAGAGAGGTCCTGACCAACCCAGGGTCACACAGCAAGTATCAGAACCCAGCAGAGAGCCTCCCCTGCACTCGCCATCCCGTGGCCCTCTGCACTTCCCTAGGTACCTTGATGTCCTCGGGCACCATGCGGATGTCCCTGCTGGGGGCCAGGAGGCGGTAGATGGAGCTGGGCAGGTGGACCCGGAGCCGCTGACAGAGGAGGTCAGCCCCCGAGTTGGATGGAGCGCAGGCCAGGATGTGGGCTTTGGGCAAGTGCTTCACCACCTGAGATGCGGATAAGCATAGTGAGGGAAGCAGCTTCCTGAGACTCAGCCGTATCTCAGGCTGGGGAAGTGCAGCAACTAGGCCTCCCATAGCTGAGGGAGGCAGTGACATAAAAAGGAAGTTCTGATCCCCATGTCCCTGCTAGTCCAAATAGGACTTTAATGCTGAACAACTGCTGCAGTAAATATACAAGTCTAGGATGACTGAAATGTGAATGGTACTCTAAGAGTTGTGCAGTGCCCAACTCACACAACAGTACTCAATAGCCACACTGACCCTAATCCCCTCCCTCCCTTTTGGTGGCTGCTCAGAAGCAGCATTCAGGCAACTGGAGGGAACTAGAGCCTCGGAACAACTGCTTGGTGCTGGGGAGTCAGCATGCAGGGCCCCAGGTCTATGTTCCTGCCCCACCTGCTTAATGGACTCCACTACTGTGACAGTCTTGCCGGTGCCTGGAGGCCCAAAGATGATGTAGGGGGCTGGACGGGTGGTCCCCATAACAATGTGCTTCATGGCCTGCAGCTGCTCTGGGTTTGACTCCAGACTCCGGTCATACAGCCTGGCAGAAGGGCCGGGAATGTGAATATGGAGTTATCCAGTGACCCAGGCCTCCCGACTCCATCCCCCATGCCCACACCCCAAGTAGCCCAGAGCCTCCCTGCCCACAGTCTCACTTGAGCTTCACATCTGAGGGCAGCAGCGGGACCCCACGGGAGGCCACAGGAAAGAGCATGGGCCACAGCAGCCAGCGCCCTGTCAGCTCCAGGGCTCGGTGCTGGACCCGCAGGGGCTGGCGGTTGAAGGTAAAGTTCACTTTGAAGGTCAGCCCATCCACAAAGCGGCTCAGGAGGCTTCGGGCAGGGAGAGAGAGGAGGAAAGAGATTGTTGAGTAGGGAGGCGATAAGAGGCCAGGACCCTCTCCACCTACCTCTCGGCTCCACCCTCTCTTCCCAAGACCTGTATGCAAAGCTCGCTAGGAGAGGAAGCTGCCGAGGCATCTCGGGGTGCCCCTAAAGAAAAGCCTCCTGCCCTGTCCCTGGAGTCCTACTCATCTCAGGGAGGAGCACTCTTCCTCCCCTGGCCTCAGAGAGCAGCCTACAGAACCTTCTGGCAGCTTAGAGTTCCGCAATGCCCACCTTGTAGAAAAGCTCAGCTTGACACGGTCCAATTCCACCTTGTGCACAAAGCCCTTGTAGGTGATGGAGTCCTCATGGTGTGTCTCAGAGGACAAAAGGGCAAACAGATGGTCACCCCGTAGCACTGAGGGACGGCTCTCAGTCACCCCGGGAACCTATAAGGTATGAACACAAACCCTGAGAAGCTCGACCCCTAGGCTCTCCAGACCTCTGAGGGACAGGAAGTGAGGGCTTTCTAACCCAAGACTCAGGGAGCTACGATATTCCTGCATCCCTCCTTCCTCTCCCACCAGACAGGACAGGAGTCAGGGGAAGGGGAAGGAGAAGAATCCTGCAGAGTCCAAGAGCCCAGAACCTCCAGTGCAGCTACCCTCTTGGCCTATTCTATGTTTGTTGGTTCATTCGTTCGTTCGTTCATTCATTCATTCATTCATTCATTCATTCATTCATTCATTCATTCATTCATTCAGACAGGGTCTTGATCTGTCACCCAGGCTGGAGTGCAATGGTGCAGTTATAGCTCACTGCAACCTTGAACTCCTGCACTCAAGCAATCCTCCCGCCTCAGCCTCTCAAGTAGCTGGAGCTACAGGCATGTGCCACCACGCCCAGCTAACCTAACTTAAAAACATTTTTTAGAGATTGGGTCTTGTTACATTGTCTAGGCTGTTCTCAAACTCCTGGCCTCAAGCACTGGGATAACTGGCATCAGCAATTGCACTCAGCCTTCTGCCTTTAAAATCTTGTTTGAAACTCACTTCCTGTAGTAATCTTTCCTTGATCAGCCTCACCCTCTCCCTTCTCACCTGCACTTGTGTGCAGAAATCCATTCTCATGTGTAATTCTGGGCTTTAATGTACACATTCAAAATCTGAGAGCTAGAAAGGCTCTAAGAATTATCTAGTCCAGCTCTGTGCTTTTTCAGATAAGGGTACTTGCTCAGAGAAAGCAAGGGACTTGCTCAAGGTCACAGAGCTGGTGGTAGTAAACAACTTCCCCGTTGCCCTGCTCCAACACCACTCTGGGCACAAGATGCCCATCCTGCTTCTTGCTAAGCCCTTTGGGGTAGGAACCACTTCATTCTTCCTCGTGTCTTGCCCTGCTGTCAGGAATAGCTCTGCTCACAGCCTGTGTGTTGGCTGGCTTGGGCCCACCTTCCCCGCACCCGATCCGAGCCCCGACCTCCAGTGTGAGCAGCCTGGGGTTCTGGTCTACGGGGTCCCAGGTCATGGGCACTGACTCCAGGTCATAGTGCCGGATGTCAAGCTCCATCTGCAGCTCCTCCAGGTGCAGCAGCAGTCGGAGCTTCACCTCGTAGTTCCTCCACTTCAGGGCTGTCTCCAGCTGGGCCCTGGAGTGATGGTTGGGAGGGGTGGGTGGGGGCAGGAACAGGGCAGGTCAGACAACCCCCATGTCCGGGAACATCCAACCTCTCACCGAAGGTCTGGAACTAAGAAAGCTTTGAAAAGCAGGGAAGACCAGAAGGGCAGAGAAAGGGATGGGGGTCAGAGGCCTCGAAGAAGGGAGCCCTGGCTCTTGCTTCCTCAGATGTCCTTGCCCCAACCTCACGCCTGACTCAGCTTTTGCATGGTGGATCTTACGGCCAGAACACTCTCCCCCAGATCCCTCATGACTCCCATCCTCACCTCATTCAGATGTCCTTCTCTGTTCAAATGTTACCTTCTCAAAGAAGCCAGGACTAACTGCCCTCTGCAAAGCAGCACTGACCCATCCCCTTACTTTGCTTTGGTTTTAATTTAGCATCAGTTTAGTTCTTTACAGCATTCATCACTCCACGAAATGTACAATAAATGCTCATTGTCCCCCACTGGAACAGGCAAGGCTCTTGTTTGACTGGTTCACCTTGACCAGTGCTTGGCGCACAGTGCGTGCTCAGGGAATGAATGAATGGGGCCTGGGAGGCTGAGGACAGAGGTGTCAGGGCAATGGGAAGCCAGTAGGGAAGGGACAGCAGGCACGGGAGAGTGTAGGGTGCAGGGAGGTGGTACTTACTTGATCTCAGCGACCTCCTTTGGGGCAGTGAAGACACTTGCTCCCTGAAGAAGCATGGGGAGCAGCTGCCTGAGGCGGGGGGGTGGGTAGTATGTCCCCAGCGCCATGCTTAATTCCAGATCATAGCCTTTAGCACTGCAGGAGTGAGGGAAGACAAGCGGTCACAAACACAGAAACATCTCACTTCCAAAGACTCTGAGAGTGCCCCTGCGGAAAGCCCTCGTGCAGTGCTTTTGCTGAAAGGTGGGCAGCAGTTTTGCCCAAGGATGTGGAGCTTACTGGCTCCTGTGGCTGCCTGCTCCAAGGTGGGACAGTTCTCATTTTTGGAAAGCGTGATACTTGGAAACATTTAAAAAGTATTATATAAGTAATACATGTTCACTAGAGAACAAAAATCAGGTAATAAACAAATTTCTTACCATCCAGGGATAACCAATGTTCAATTTTTGGTATATAGCCTTCCAGACTTTTTTCTTTGCACATTTGTATTCTACACATACGTAGTCAACAAAAAGAGCACCATGGTCTATGAAGGTCCTATTACATAGTTTGCTTTTGTAACTCGACATTTTTGTGAACATCTATTATAGCAATAACAAAAAGAGCTGCCTACACGTATTACACTAGGATTCCAGTCACACGACATGTCCCACATGGAGAAATCTACAGAGATAGAAGGTAGATGAGTAGTTGCTCAGGGATGAATGGGGCTGGGTGATATAGCTAAAGGGTACAAGGTCTCTTTTTGGGGTAATGAAATATTCTAAAGCTGTAGTGACAGCTGCACATATCTATGAATGTCCTTAAAAATCACTGAACTGTATACTTTCAATGTGTGAATTGTATGTTCTGTGAATTATCTCAATAAAGCTGTTTAAAAAAAAGAGAGATGTCTACAATGGGTTGCCTAATAATCCGCCATACAGTGAAAATACCTAAAATTTTTCATGCTGTCCTCATACCTGAGGCTCATCTGCAACTTTCTTCCCAGACAGAAAAGGTCTCTGAGCCACAGAGGGCCGAGGAGCCTGCAGTCAGGAAAGGGGTCTCTGGCCCTGTGCTCTTCCCAAGAGCCCACACCGAGGCGGTCGGGATTGTCCCAGCCCACGAACGGGCTGGAGGGAGGAGTTACCGGTCAGGTCTTTCTCCTTCCTCTATCCGGCTGGTCACCACAGGGTTTCCAGGGATCCGGGTCCTCTTGAAGGGAGCCGTGGGCTTCAGCTGTGCAGCCAGCGGGCTGTGGGCGACGGCAGCCAGGAAGCGGGCGATGTAGAAAGTGCCGGCTCCTTCTGAGCCTGACTCCCCAGGTCCTAGCAGCTCCCAGAGCACTGTGGCTGGGAAGTAGCCCACAAAGCCGGTCTTACAGTGGACGTGGAGCTCATAGCTTTCACCTGGAGGAGGACGGCCGGTGAATGGGGTTTCGAGGAGCCCTCTCACCAGCATCCTGACCCTGGGCGCTCTCCGAGACAGCCCCAACCCGAGGCAGAGCCACGGCGTGCGTCCCAAAGCACCAGCACTGCCCAGCGCAAGGCCTCGTCCACCAGCAGCGGCTCTTTCCGCCGGAAACCCACTCACCGGGGCCCAGTGGGCAAGGCAGCTCCTGGTCTCCATTGTAGAAGGCAAACTGGGGTGTCCGGCAGAGGGGGAAGAGATGAGTGAGGGTGACAGGCTGGGTTCCTCCATTCCGAAGCCTCAGGGTCAGCACCTCCTTGCGGTTCAAATCCAGGCGGATAAGGAGCTGCCCATCTCGGGCTTCATGGGGCCCCTGGACTTCCACGTCCACCCCATGTTTCCCGTGAAGATACTCAGCCCTGGGGAGAGTGGGAGTCAAGGGGGGGGCTGGGGCGGGAGGGGCCTGGACTGGGGGTTACCCCGGGGGAGGAAAGTTTTAGGCTTAGGAGGCTGGCAAAGTGCCAACTGTGCTCAGGAAACTCACCCCCTCCCTCGGACCAATGCCCTGCCCTTCCCTATTCCTTGAAGGAGGGGGCCCTACCCACCTCCCCCAACCCACTCTTTCCTTAGCCAGACAGCCTCCTCCCCCATGCCCTGCCGGCCCCCTTCACACACACACACACACACACACACACACACACACACACACACACACACACACACACACACACACCTGTCATAAAAGATCTTGGCTAGCAGTGACTTGTGGTGTTTGCTGATATCTGACCCCAGCTTCATTCTCCTCTTTTCTGGGAACCGCACGTCAGCCCAGCGGTCGAGTCTGAAGAACCTGACCCGAGTCTTGGTGACGTAGGCCAGATTTGCAATCTTCATTCCATACAGCATGGAGGAGAAGCCAGGGGCGGGGGTCCCAAAGCTGCCAGAAGCAGAGGAGACTGGGAAGTGAGGAAAGGCAGGGCCTGTGGGACGCGGACACAGGCGGCTGGCGGGGGAGGGTGTCTGCGGGTCACTCTGCTGGGGACACACCAGCCCCGCTGCAGAGCAGGACGGGACCCAGCAACAGAGACTCAGGCCGGGCGTGGGGGAATTTTTTATGTTTTAAGGGAAGGCAATGAGACTCCCCAAAACAAAATATAGTTGTTTTAGACAGTGGGTTGTGGATTGTGCATTTCTGAGGAGTAAAGTCCAATCATAGGCTTTAATTGGGAGGACTAAGGGAAGAGAGAGAAAGAAATGATAAAAAAAAAAAATTTTTTTTTTGTTTGGAAAACTATTTGGGATAGAAAATAAAACAACCCAGCGGAAAGAGCACAGGCTAAGGGGAAGCAGAATAAGTTGGTTCAGAGGGGAAGCTGTGGGGTCCAGCCTGTGGTGAGGAGAGAGGGGATCAGAGACAGCACAGATGTCCAGAGTGTGTGGGCAAGGTGGCTGATCAGACAGCAGTTTCCACCTGGAGTCAAAGGGTGCAGGTGGAACCAAGCAGGAAGGGAAAGGATCCTTCTCCAGAGATCAAATAGCATGGCTTTGTGCCTAGAGGTGAAGACAGGGAAAACTGGTCAGAAGGACAATAACCTCAAGGTTCAGCGCCTGGAGTTCAGTTTAGTCAACTCAACAAACACTTACAGAGGCCTGTTATGTGCCAGACATTGTACGAGATGCTGGAGGTTCCAAGATGCAAGAGACCCAGAGCCTGCCTGGAGGAGCACACACATTCCAGCCTGGCGCCCAGAGCACCGCCACTGAGGCTCCCAGGGTAGCTCCTAGGGCCAAGAAGGGGCACTGAGTCCAGCCTGGGAGCAGGGCGGGCATCTGCAAGGGCTTCCCCAGGAGACAGCGTCACAATCAAGTCCTGAGGACGAATGGGCATCACCTAGCAAAGGTGAGGGGTATGCAAGAACATGTGCGGTAAGGGGTGAAGGGGCTGCCCACTCGATCCAGCCAGGTCATCGCAGGCTATATCACCTCTTGGAGCCTCACTTTCTTCCTCTACAACATGAGGAAAGCAAGACTTGCCTTGCAGGGTAGCTGAGAGGCTTACACGAGATATCCACACTGCAGTGGACCACGTAGCCAGCCCAGTGCTTGGCACATACGAGACCTCAGTAAGGGTGAGCGATGATTAGTTTCACACTGTTTGGTTGTACTAGAGTGAAAAGCACAAGGGAGGGAGTGGCAGGAGGAGCAGAGGTGGGCAGGGACCAGAATCACGCATGGTTTTGCATGTCAGGCCAGGAAGCCTGGACTTGACCCTGACCTCCACTGACCGCCAGCAGTCCTCCTCCCTCCTTTACTGGCACCCAGGAGCCTGAGGACTTTCCCATGTGTGACACACTTCATAGACATTTTCAAGATCTGGATGACTGACACACGCCCTCAATGTTTTGTAGAGAATGAAAGCGAATCTTTGTTCATAAGAACTATGGTTAATTCCTATTTAACTTTTTTTTTTTTTGAGACAGAGTCTTGCTCTGTTGCCTTGGTTAGAGTGCTGTGGCATCAGCCTAGCTCACAGCAACCTCAAACTCTTGAGCAAGGTGCCCTACTGCCTCAGTCTCCCAAGTATTTGAGACTACAGGTATGTGCCACAATACCCAGCTATTTTTTTCTATTTTTAGTAAAGACAGGGTCTCGCTCTTGCTTAGGTTGGTCTCAAACTCCTGATCTCAACTGATTCTCTTGCCTTGGCCTCGTAGAGTGGTAGGATTACAGGCATGAACCACCATGCCAGGCCCCTATTTAACGCTTAAAGCTAAGTCAGCATGGTCACTCGCTAGGGTATGTGATGAGATCATTTATGGTTATGAATGGGTATGAACACTTCCCTGCTACCCTCTGCCTGTAGCTCTGCCCCTCTCCTTCACCCCAAGCGAATGAGAGTGGGACTATCCGGAAAACACTGAATTGGCTATGATTTGTTTTAAAAACATAATAAATCATTTGAAAGTATAATAGAAAATGCTCAGTAAATGTTAGCTACTATCATTAGTATTTATATTAGTAGTAATAGTAGTGCTAATAGTAGCAGTAGTAGTAGGAGTAGTAACAACTTACTTTGAGCCCACGCCAGAGGCTACACTGTGGTTACAGAACCACTGTAGTTGGTGGGTTTTAAGCAGGGGAGTGGCAAGATCATATTTGCATTTCAGATCACTCTGGCATCAGGACTGGAGGTTGGATTTGCTGGAGGCAAGACTGTAGGCAGGGAGATCAGTTAGAAGAAGGCCCTTCCACTTGTCCGATTAAATGACAGCAAAGGCCTGAACAAGGCAGTGGCAGACATAGAAGAAAACAGGCCAGATCCACTAATATTTAGAATGTAAATTTCACAGAATTTGGTGATTGGCCAGAGGGGGAATGGAGGCTGGGAAGAGGAAGGAGTCTAGGATATTCAGATCAATGGCTTGGCTTCAGGGACTATTCCTGAGATAGGATGTAAAGACAAGGGGAGGAGGGATTTGGAGGGGCTGACCATGACATCTGGATTTGGCCATGCTTGGTTTGAGATTACTGTGGGCCAGAGGCAGCCAGCTCCAGGAGTCCAAAGCAGAGAACTCGGGCCAAAGTCAAGGTTAGAGCCAAATATTAGAGAGTCCTCAGGTAGTAGTTTAAAATGAAGGAAGTGTTGGGATCTCCCCAGGGAGTATGAGTAGCCCGAGAACAACAGCCAGGACAACACAGGGAGGAAGGGAAAGCAGAAGAAACGGTCAAGAGAGGAAGGAAAATCAGGAGAATTCTCAAAATCAGTTATCAGGATCAAAAGTTGCTGAGGGGTCCAGTAATAAAGGAAGTGACATCAGGAGGTCATCAGTAACTTTCACCAGGGCCCTTTATAGTCCATAGTCACTAAGTCCCATGGATCGGGCATAAACTCAAATGCCTACAGAAGCCAGGTTCCACAGGTATCTTGATACCTGCAGCCCTCCCAGATATCCATTTATTCCCATTTTTAAAAGTCATCAGTTTAAGAATACTACACATGCCACATAACTCTACTATAGGAGAACAACAGTGCAGGTTTCATGAAAAGTGGCTCCAGGCTTCCTGGCACAGTGCTAGGGAGAAAAGAGGGCTTTGTGGGGACTGAGCAAACTGGGCAGTGCATGCCCTATCTAAAGGGGGTAACTGCGCATTTCCAGAAAAATGCTGCCAGCAGGGAATGTAGACCCAAGACGGCCAGATCTTCTGTCTTTTAAGAGAAGACAAAATAAAAATTTTATGTGAAATCTCCTATCTTTGGAAACTTCTGCATGAGCACACAGGCATGCAAAACTCATCTTTGCAAGTTTTGCAACTTTTACTATGGATGCTACCCCCTAAATATTTCTCAAATTATTCTCTATGTTTGTTACCACAACCCAAATTCACCTAACCCTGGTCTAAGGGGACAGTCATAAAAAACTTTTTTTTTTTAAATTGCAAACATTATTATTATACATTCTTGTTAAAAAAAGCCCGAATCCTTGTATTATATGTCTAGTCACCTATATGTCTTGGTAAAACTTTCTATTCCAAGATTGGAAACCTACAGCTATAAAAGAAAGCACCCATTTTTGATTATTAAAAATTATTTTGTATGGCAAAAAGTAACATAAACAAATTCAACTGATAAACACCAGAGAAATGTTTGCAATGCAGATGACAGGCAAAGGGTTAATTTTTATAATTTACAAATTGATAAGGAATGATAAACGATTCAATATAAAAATTAAATATTTAATTTATAGAACAAATCCAGATGACCAAAAGAGTATGAAAAACTTCTCTAAACATAGAGAAATGCAAAGTAAGGTAAAAAAAGAGATATTTTATGCTCATTAGCCTGACAAAAATGAACAATAGCTCTAACGTATATTGCTGTTATGGATGTATGGAAAAGTGAACTCATAAATTGCTGGTAGAAAAGTAAAGTGTTATAACCCTTTTGGAAAACAATCTGGCAACATCTACTGTGATTCCCTCAAAATAAGACCTACCCATAAAATAAGCCCTAGCAGGGTTTCTAAGCATTTGCACAATATAAGCCCTACCCCCAAAATAAGACCTAGTGATGGGCGTGGTTATGCAGCGTCTCTGCCACAACTCATGCATTTTGTTGCAGAGCAGTAAAGAAGATGAGCAGCCCTTGTCATCTGCCCCATCATGACAGCTACTATCCCAGAGGTGAATGGAAAGGTGTGGGCAGCCGCACCAACAAGGTTGGCTCCCCCTGTCAGGTCCTGCCATCCTGTGCATGCTGCAGGCTGAGGCTTTGAGGGGAAAATAACACATCCCCTGAAAATAAGCCCTAGGGTGTCTGCAAGCTGAGGCTTTGAGGGGAAAGTCTCCTCAGTGAAGTGAGGAGTACTAGGCTCCGTTTTAGGTACTGTGTGTCCCCAGGGGGAAGAAGGAAAGCTGTGGCTGCCATTTGTGATGCCATTTATGATGATGTTCCAGAAGATGACTTAACTATATTTGAATAAATGTAGATTGTTGTACCAAACTTAAAAAAAATATATATATATATATATCCCCTGAAGCTAAGACCTAGGGTGTCTTCTTGAGGAAAAATAAATATAAGACCCTGTCTTATTTTTGGGGAAACATGGTATAAACATTTACAACACAGGTATCCTTTAAAATCCTTAAGTCCCATTCCTGTTCTGGATTGTATTCCATGGAAAGAGAAATACCAATGTACAAGGACACACATGCAAGGATACTTACTACAGAGTCATTCACAGTGGCCAAGAATAGGAAAGAAATAAAGCAAATGCCCATCAACAGAGATGTCTGAGTAAGCTGTAAACACTCATATCATGGAATATTATGCGGCCAATAAAAAGAATGTGCCATATTTATTCAAATGGCTAAAATTTAAAAGACTGACAATAACAAAGATTGATAAAGATTTAGAATAACCAGAACTCTCATGCATTGTTGGTTGGTGTGTAAAATGGTAGAATCACTTTGGAGAAAGGTCTGATAGTTTCTTGTAAAACTAAACATATGCACTCTCTATGACCCAGCAATTCCACTCCCAGGTATATCCCCAAGAGAAATGAAATTATATGTCCACAAAATGATCTGCACAAAATGTTCCTAGCAGCTGTTTTCAAAGTAGACCTAAACTGAAAACAATGTCCATAAACAATGAATGGTTATATACACTGTGATTTGTATGCATACAATGGAATACTACAACTCAGTGATAAAGATGCCTTACACAAGAGTATGGTTCCATTAAATGAAGTCCTACAACAGATACTCTTGTGAAAAAAATCAGGGCAGTGGTTGCCTATAGATGAGGACTGACTAGGAAAGGGCATGAGGGACCTTTCTGGGGTGATGTAATATTCTAGATCTCAATAGGGGTTTTCACACAGGTATATGCATTTGTTAAAACTCATAGAACGTACATAGAACAGTACTTAAAATTTATACATTTCAGCTGGGCATGGTGGCTTGAGCTTGTAATACTAGCACTTTGGAAGGCTAAGGTGGGAGGATCATTTGAGACCAGGAGTTCCAGACTAGCCAAGACCCTACAAAGTATAAAAAATTAGAAAATTAGCTGGGTGTGGTGGGATGCTCTTGTAGTCTTAGCTACTCAAGAGGCCAAGACAGGAGGATTGCCTGAGCCTAGGAGTTTGAGTTTGCAGTGAGCTATGATTGTGCCACTGTATTTCAGCCTGGGTAACAGAGTGAGACCCTGTCTCTAAAGAAAGAAATAGTACAACCTCTATGGTTGTATGGAGATTTCTCAGAGAAATAAATATAGACATACCATTCAACCCAGCAATCCCACTACTGGGTATCTACACAAAGGAAAAGAAACTATTTTATCAAACAAGACTCCAACACTTGAATGTTTACTGCAGTACAATTCACAATCATTAAGATGTGGAATCAACCTAAGTGCCCATCAATTCATGAGTGGATTAACAAAATGTTGTATATATATACCATGGAGTACTACTCAGCCATAAAAAGGAATGCATTAATTTCTTTTGCAGCAATTTGGATGGAACTAGAGACCATTATCCTAAGTGAAGTATCCCAGAAATGGGGAAAAAAACCCACCACATGTACTCTCTAATAACTTGGAACTAATCAATGGGCACAGAGAGAGGTAAAAGGCATTGGAAGTCAAAAAGGGGGGAGGGAGGGGTCATAACCTACCTAAGAGGTACAATGAATACTATTTGGGTGATGGGCACACTAATGGCCCTGACTTAAGTATTATAAAAGCTATACATGTAACAACAAAAACATTTATACCCCCTTAATATTAAAAAAAAGAAGAAGAGAACAAGAAATAGGCTGGGAGCAGTGGCTCAAACCCAATCCTAGCACTCTGGGAGGCCAAGGTGGGAGGACTGCTTCAGACCAGGAGTTAGAGACCAACCTGAGTGAGAGCACAAAAAATAGAAAAATCAGCCGGACATGGTGGTGTGTGACTGTAGTCCCAGCTACTTGGGAGCCTGAGACAGGAGAATTGCTTGAGCCCAGGCCCAGGAGTTTGAGGCTGCAATGAGGTAGGATGATGCCACTGTACTCTAGCCCAGGGCAAGAGAGTGAGACCAGGGCTCAATAAATACATAAATAAATTTTAAAATTTAAAAAAATAAAAAAGATTTGTACATTTCATTGTTTTACTTAAAAAAAATGAAAGCAAATTTTGAACTCTACTTAATGATAATCATGCTGAAGTATTAAAAGCACTCATATCTATAACTTACTTTGAGGTACGTCAGAAAAATTAAGATGGCTTGCTAAATGGATAGAGGGATGGATTGATGGGCAGATATGTGTAAAATGTTAGTTTAGAAATCTAGGTGAGGGTATACGGGTGTTTACTATACAATTATTTCAACTTTTGTTTATATTTGAAATTTGTCATGGTAAAATATTGGGGGAAAATATCCCCAACAACGCATTAGAGGTTAGACATACATATGAGACGATTCGGAGTGATTTCCATGACACAGTTGAGTAAAAAAAATTGGATATGGAATACATGAATTATATGATCCTTTTTTTTTTTTGAGACAGAGTCTCGCTTTGTTGCTCAGCTAGAGTGAGTGCCATGGCGTCAGCCTAGTTCACAGCAACCTCAAACTCCTGGGCTCAAGTAATCCTGCTGCCTCAGCCTCCCGAATAGGTGGGACTACAGGCATGCGCCACCATGCCCGGCGAATTTTTTTCTATATATA